CTCCCTTGGCGTCGACACTGCCAATGGCCTTGTGGTGCGCCTCAGCGGCAGCCTTCAGAAGGTTTCCGTCCATCTGGCTGCCCATCACGATCATCTTGTCAATGGCGGTCATCACCTTCGGGGCTGTGGTGCCTGGCAGCGGCTTCAGGTAAACATCGGACAGCCAGTCCACCTGAGGGCACGCGCACAAACAACCCAGCATGCTCGGTCAAAAGAAACCCATTGCAAAACCCTTAGGAACTGGCTCTGGCATGGGGACTCACATGATGTCTCTCATTTGTCTTCAGCAAAAATTGTTCTTCTTTGCCATTCTGCACCTCCTTCAAGAAAGGGTAAGATGCATCCGAAAGGGCCTTCGCCGCCGCACCAATCTTGTCCCCAGTGGGCACAGTGGCCGGAGCACCAACCGCAGACACTTGGTTCCTTGGAATGTTTCAGGAGTTCATCTGAAAAGATGCTAAGAATACTTGAGAGCCACGGGCTGGGACGAAAGCTCTAGTAGGCCTAGGACTGGGGACGCGGAGCTTACAGGAACAGAGAGGCGCCGAGAGAGCAAAGCGCCGACCCTCAGCCCGGAAGATGCAGAGAGCAATGAGACAGACACCTTTGCGAACCATAGACCGGCAGACATGTTGCAGCATGCCCAGCTCAGTGATTCAAGTAGCTCTCTCTCTCTCTCTCTCTCTTGTCGCACATGACACGCAACGGCCAGCATCAGCAGCATCAGGCACCACACCCACACCCAGGTTAGCATCAGCAGCATCAGGGGGGCCCCGCTTCTCCTTCGAACGTCTCCGAAAAACACCTACCAAAGGAAACCCAAATCTAGCCCAAAACAGGCCCCCTTGGCACCACACCCAGGCCAGCATCAGCAGCATCAGGGGGGCCCCGCTTCTCCTTCGAACGTCTCAGAAATACACTTACCAAAGAAACCCAAATCTAGCCCAAAACAGGCCCCCTTGGCAACGATGGTTTTCCCGGCACCAGACCGGGGATAGCCGAAAAAACCCACCAAAATTGGTCCACCCCCCCCCCCCCCCCCCCCCCCCCCCCCCCCCCCCCCCCCCCCCCCCCGATAACCCCAGGCTCACTTCGTGAGGTATTGAACGAAGCTCCCACAGGGGGAGCTTTCGTGACAAGCTCCGCAGATGCAGAACGACGTGGGAATGCTAAGATAGTCAAAAATAGATCTTAATCAACTCCAATGCTCTTTTCCACCACATCCTTGAACTCCAAGAAGCCCTTGTATGCCTTCTCGGCATCCGCACCGTTGACCAAAGACTTCATGTACCCCGGCACGGCAGGGTCAGTGATGTCCTTCACGGCATTGTACACGTCCATGACCTTAGCCTTGGGGACGGACGCCACAACGCGGCCCAAAGCCGCGTTCACCGCATCCCAATCCGCCCGAGAAGTCACACCATTGGGACCTGAGATGCTTCCGATGGCCTTGTGATGGGCCTCCGCTGCTGCCTTCAAGAGCTTGGGGTCTGCTGCTGCGCCCATGTCAATCATCTTGTCAATCGCCTTGAGGGCTTGGAGAGGTTGGAACTTGCCAGGAGCTTGCAAGAAGATGCCGTTGTTCCAGTCCACTTCCTTCGCGAAGTCATAGGAAGCATCACCAAGCTTCTTAGCTGCGTCACCGATCTCATCGGCGAAAGCAGCTGGGGCCATCATCATGCCGGCTGCGGACGCAGCTGCGACTGGGGCAGCCGTCCTGCGAAGCGGCCCGGGCACGAAGCCGGAGCGGGAGAGGCCGCATGCCAGCAACGCAGCCACAGCGCAAGCAGCGACCTTCCTCGTGGAGCGCGCCATTCGCAAGAGAGCAAGAGGAGAAGCTCTTGGTCAAAAGTATGCTCAAGGCCAAAATTGCTTCGCGATTGCGAAGTGTCGAGTTTCGGGCCGGCTGATATTGAATTTGCCCAGCCTTTATATCCTCGGGTCACAAACCCCCGAAGCCAGGGATTTTGCAAATCAAGACCTGAAACTCAAGCTGTTGCAAACAGTTGTACAAAGCGTTCAGCGCAGCAACCACGCTCAAGATTTTCCACGAAGAACATGCCATGATTGTCCAAGGGATGTACGGAGATTCCTGTTGCGTGCAACACCTGGAAACTCTGTAGCACTTTCTCCTCCTCCTGCTGCTCTTCCTGCTGCTCCTCCTGCTGCTCCTCCTGCTGCTCCTCCTGCTGCTCCTCCTGCTGCTTCTCATGCTGCTTCTCCTGCTGCTCCTCCTGCTGCTTCTCATGCTGCTCCTCCTGCTGCTGCTGCTCTTGATGCTACTGTCCAAACGATCTCCTTCCAGTGACCTGGCTGCATCACAGGTCCCGCGCAACGGTGTTTTCTCACATTCCGTGGAGCGCTTCCGCTCATCAGGGCAGAAGCCTCTCCTCACAACCTGTTTACTCAGTTTTGGGATCTCCACAGATTCTCCAAGCAAAGCCAGAGCAAACAACCGTTGGCATCTACCCTTCTTCCCAAAACCCACACAAACAGATTCCCAAATTCCCCCCCACCCTGCCAAAACTTCCGCGCCTTTGCCCAGCCAGGCCCGGCCATGACGTCCCGGAACACGAACTCAAAGGGGGTTGAAGTTGCTTAAAAGAAACACTTCTGGCTTTACGGTTGAGGGGGGGAGCACTGGGCTCCACGGCAACCTGGGATTGAACTGGGTACCCTTGCGTAGGTGACATGGAGTTGACAAATACCTTGCAACGACTTTTTTGAGACATTTTGGAGAATCCGAATGCTTTGAAAGCTTCAAGGGAATACGGGGTTTAGGGTTTTGGGTGCTACGGACCTGGTTCAAGCATAGCAAAGAGCACATTTTTTCGTGGGATCTGGCTCCGTGCCTGGAGGTTTGGGGCTTCGCACATACATATTTCATTGAGGAATGCAAAAAAAGTTGGATGTGGGCATTATCCGGAAGAGCTATACAAGGCTATTATAGCTGTAAGCCCATCCGTTTGCCCTAGACTCTAGGGCCTCTAGGGTTTTTAGGTTGAGGGTTTTGGTTCAGGCATCCAATGCCCTGTTCACACAAGCACCTGCTCCAAAAAGCAGCTTAGTGCTTTTTCCGGAAGAACATCTGTCCCCCAGAATTGTTGCAGCCTCTTTGCCTGTGGCAGGGTCGCTCGCCACGACCTTGCAAGGCAATGGAGCCCATCGCCAAGCTGCCAAGAATGATGGCATAACGGTTATAAGGGCTTGCTCTCCGAAGGCAAAGCAAGAAACAGCCCTAAACTACAAAAAGCCCAAAAAGCCCAAAAAGCCCCAGAAAGCCTCGGAACGACTGCCACTCACAGGGCGTTCAGTGCTTGGAGGGAGTGTTGTGAGCCCCGGCTGCGCCTCATATGATATGTCAACCCACAATCGGGATGCAAAACATCCCCACAGCTCGCGGCATTTCTGGAATCTGGAGGCGAGCCACCTTGCCCCAGGAGTGCCGCAACAGCGGACAGCCCACCGGCGACGTGCCTTTGTTCGCAAGCTCGAGGTTTGTGTTTCGAAGACTCCAGTGGGCTGAGGCGGTGGGTTTTGGTGGGTTCGAAATGCGGGCCGCGGGCCCGGAAAAAAAAAAAAAAAAACTGCCACTTCTGAGCTGCTTAGAAGCCCAAGCCCTGCCGCCCAAAACCCAAACCCGCATCCCACACCCGCTTTCATCCGCGCGACATTCAAAGCGAGGCTCCTGCGCGTAGGCCTGCGCTGAGACATTGCTCCGGGCTGAAGCATCTTTGTGCAGCTTCCTCGTGGAACTTGAGGCTAACCTTTGGACCTCTCCCTCCCCAAAATAAAAGCATTGACTGCTGACTAGGAGGGATGCTACAAGTAGCTGCAGAGGGCTCGGGGCTTACTCAAGCATCCCTGCTACCTTCGGTTTCTGCAAACGAGACCGAAGAGTTCCTCTGGGCGGAGGTGCTCAGAACAGAAACTCTCCGCGCAGCCAGTTTCAGGGTTCGAGGGCTCAGGTTTCAAGAGCTTGTTTACATATATCTATAAATATAAATAGAGGAAAAACTTATATATATTTATATTAATTTATTTATTTGTGTATATATATATATAGGGCTTCTCGGGTGCTCTTTCCAAGCCTCGACATCCATGGGCCCAGACCGTGACCGCAGCAGGCTCCATGCGACTGGCCAGAGGAGCACCTCGCCCCCCTTTAAAAACCCTAAGAATCCCCCCCCCCCCCCCCCCCCAAAGCCATATAACGCCTCCTAACGAAGCCCCAAACTCCTCTTGAAGCCCCAAACCACTCCTCAAAGCCCCCAAAAGCCCTAGGCTCCACACCTCGAGCCCCAGGCCCTCCAACCCCTTCCCCCATATGGACCGGGAAAGGCCGCTTCTGACTTTCTACAATCGAGGTATCCTTCGGCTTTTGGTTGAGGCCCCGGGGGGGGGCTCCGCGGGCTCTGACGTGGTTGAGGGGGCGTTCTATCCTGGATTACGGGATCGGGGCTGAGCCGATGGCAGTAGGATGGGAATTTACGACACGACGACCCAACCGATTACATCCGAACCCTACACCCCAAAAAGGCCAGATGCCCTACCCTACTTCTCCAGTTCCCAGAGGAACACAACTGCAAGTCTACGAACCGCATCCGAAGCCCCCAAAACCCTCAAACCCATGCACCCAGAGAGCCCATGCTACCCCTTCTTCTTAAGGAGTGCCTTCTTATGAATACCAGATTCCTTAATAACATGATATGGAGCCGGCCAAGGCGGGGACCGATACGATAGCGAATGGGTTCGGGCTCATCGCTTGAGCCCGGCTTTCGGGCGAAAGTCATGCTCCAATCTTTGGAGATCTTTGGAGGCTCGGAGTCTGACTTGCCAGGTTGGGCATACCGCGGCCAGGAACTTGCTGAGTTGCAACCATTAGTTGCCTCGGTTCATACGAAACCCCGTGAGACGGCTTTGTAGAGCTTGGCTGAATAGAACCGCTCGCCCGAACGCCCAAGCCCTGGACCCTGGCAAACCCTTCAGCACGTGCTGTCCTCCATGGTCATTGTTTTGCCAAATGACTCAACGCCTCGCAGGTGGAGAGTTCTCTGTCTCTAAAGGTGTAGGGAGTACCACAAGAGACGGCTTTACACGACCGCGATGACTCGGCTTCTATGCCACTTCAGCTGTTTCGCGTAAGCGCAGCTTTGAATTTAGGTGCTCGCACCGCAGAATGTGGGGTAAACATGCTTCCCCGGCGGTAAGCTTCTGTGGGAACCCCTCATGGACAGCTAAGCAGCTGGGGGCTGCTTGCTAGATTTTTAGGGGGCCATTTTGGGCCTCTATTTGTGGCAGAAGGATACATCACCTTCTCCCCCTCCCTCACTTCCCCCACTCCTCCCCCTCATTGGCTATGTGGGGAACAAGGCCAGGGGCTCGCACGCAGGCAGATGCTCCTTGGCGGTGCCAGGTACTGGCGGCGCTGCCTGCAGTGCGGTTGATGATAGCTGGCGCCACACCCCTTGAAAGCACCCAACGAGCTAGAGCGCCCCTCTTCGAATGAATGGAAAATTTGCCCCCTCGCTCCCGGCACAGCCTTCGAAGCTCGGTTTGGGCCAGGCAGGCCTCTACCACCTCGGCTCCGGGTGTGGGGTTTCAAAGGGCTTTGAAGAAGGGTCCAAGGGTTTGGCTGCGGTCGATCCACAGAGGTTTTAGAAACCTGAACTCGAAATCCTCTAAACCCCAAACCCCTAAGCCCGAAGCCATTCCTAAACCCTCAAACCCAAAGCCACCCCCCCACCCCCTGGAACCTTTTAAGCCCTCCCCGACAGCCCTCTCAAAACACTGCCGGGAGCACTTCTGTCCATTGGCTGCCCTGGGCCCAGACTTCGAGGATGGCCTGCGAGCACAAATTTGCGACCTTAATTTTCGGGTACCTTTTTGGGGTCCCCCTATTTCTAAGGGGATCCTACTATCTGAGGGCTTTAGTAATGTAAACCCCCCAGTTTGGAGCTGAAACTTGGAGGGTGTTCGGGGCCCTCATCCAGAAATATCCCGAAGCCCTGAGACCATGTGAGGAATCCTTGACCAGGACGGACCGCTCACAGATCTTCTTCGCGTCGGCCTCCAACGTGCATTGGCGACACCGTGTACACTGCCGAAGGATTTTTCAGGGACGAACTCAGAATCCTACCCGAAGCACGCATGGACATCCCGACCTTCCACGCCGTGGCGCTACTCTTTGGCTGACCTACATTGTAGACCCCAATTCGTTGGGACTCCATGAGAGTATAACTATCCGTAAAGTTGAAGTTCCGGGATGCACAACACCCGAAGCCTGCCAGAATCCTCGACCCCAAAGTGCCCGAAAGCACTGCGCATGGCAACGGCCGTGAACCGTGAACCCCTGGCCTCCCCACCGGGCAGTCGCACCAAAACTGCCATGGAGGCGGACAGTGCTGTTGGCTTCGCCTTCTCGGGGCTTGAGAGGAGCTCTAGGGGCATTTTGGGGTGCAGGATTCAAGGGGGTCATTTGCTGGCTCCGGCTCTTGGGGCTTCAGGTACGACCGTCGCATGCATTCCATTGGTCGACAGCGCCTCATCAGCAGCGCTTCCGTGACTTGTGCTTCGTCCCCCTCTTTGCTTATGCTCGCCATGCATGAAACCAAATTCTAAACAAAGACGCCACAGCGCCGATCTTGGCTTCTCCAGGATGCTCGTGAAACCAGCGATGCCAGCTCTCAACCGAGATTGCGTTTAAGCAGTGTGGAGGGGGGGTTGCACGCTCAGTTGCGGGCCTGCCAGAAGCCAAGGGCGGAGCCCTTCTCTTTAAGCACCCTGTAAAAGTACACCCCCGAATCTCCACCAGTGACGAAGAGTGCCCCCCCCCTGCAGGGGCTACCGATCGCTTACGCGGACACCCGACCTCGGGACCTGCTGGGCAAACCCAAAGAGGGCAACGAACCTGACGAAAACCAATGGGAAACTGGGGCACCCTGAGGCCACAGGCCCCTGCGAAGGCCTTTTTGGGGTTTGGGGTTCATGGGGTTTCGGGTTGCCAAAGCCCTCGGCCTCCGCATAGAGCTCTTGCGCGCTCACGCCCAGCAGCGCCGCTAACGCCTGCAGCTCCTGGAACCTCGTGGCTTAGGGCTTTGGGGTGGGTCTGGGGCAAAATGGGGCAAACAAAGCCCACAACGGAGGGCACAACGGAGGGGGAACTGGGGCGCCAGGCCGCATGTTGAAGTACATGTTGTGGTGCGCGAAGAGGACGAGAAACTCGCGACCTGGCTTTGAGCCCGTGGCCCACTGAGCTCAACGTCTGCAACTCTTTTCAGTTGTTGCTTTGTCTGCCATGGGTCTGAATCCGATTTCAACTTGAGGCTGGCTACTGCGTGGGCTCGGCTTGGCCCAGCTCGCGCCTCCATCTTTGCTCGCCATGGCCCCCAAGCTCACAGAGGCCGCGCCATGCGGGAGAGAAGTGTGCTTTGCGCAAGAGGGAAGTGGAGGGAGAGCTTCTTCCAGGTTTGCAAAGCTTTGGGTTTCTGCAATGTGGAATGGACCGTCTCCAAGAAGGCAGAAATATATATCAAGGGAACCACTTGGACTGCCAAGCTATGGATTCTTGGGTAAGCCGACTTTTGTGTCCTGCGACGGATCCAGGCTCTGCTCGAACCTGACTTAAAGACTTACCGAAACAAAAGCTTCGCAGGGTGAGGGCTTGGCTCATCTGACGGAGGGTACACGGAGCAACCGAGCCATGGACTGCCAGAATGCAGCGCAGCCTCCACACACACACTAACTAGCTAGCTAGCTAGCTAGCTAACTAACTAACTGACTAACAAGTAAACCCGAAGGCCTGTGCCCCCTGTTCTCTGGGTGAGCTCCTGCGTTCCCTGTAAGCGTCTACAACAGCACCAAAGCTCCGCTTGGGTCCAGATCATCCCAGGAAAGAAAGGGTGCCTGATGGGTGTTCTCTTCGCAGCGTTTGCCAGGAAGCCTAATTCCTAAAGTTCCTAAAGCAAAGCCACAGCCCTGCGAAGCAGATTTCTTCTCGCCGCTTCTTCGTGCGTTTTGGCGCGGGGGTTTTGTCGCGCGAGGCTGTTTTCGGCTCGCCTGCCGGGTCTCCGGCAAGTCATGTTCGCCGGCATTGTTGGGGTGTGTTGTTTTCAGCTTGTTCAGTAGGAGCCTTGAAGGAAGTTAGACAGTGAACCCCTCTAAAAGGTGGAGGGCACTTGAGCTCTCAGGCTCCAAGATTAGCCTTACCAAGCTTTCAAGTAGGTCCAGGAGGCGCCAGATTCAGGGAACATCGGAACTGCTCCATGTATAGAACCCCTGCCATGAATCCAACTTGGTGAGCAGGTCGAAGTCTTCAAAGCTGTCTAGTTCCGGGTAAGAGTTTTGGCTTTGGGCCCTTTACGGCCAAGCGAAGGACTCTCTGCTGAGTTTGTGGGGTATCCTACTGACTCTATACGATACCCAGTGCCTCACGAAACTTTGTTCTTGAGAGCTTTGACAGCGAGATGTCAAAGTTTTCAGTTGAAGGTTTAGGTCTGAGAGGGTCTTAGGGTTTCGAGGAGGGCATCACCTGCTTTGGATCGCGCTGGGATGCTGTCGAGCCTGGGGGGGAACCCTCGTGAAAGCCTGCGGATCTTAAAAGACTTGTCGAACCTTACACCACCCCCCCAAGAACCTCCTGAGCCCAGCAGGAGGAGGGCCCCGAAAGGACCCGAGGATTGCAGCTGAGCAGGCCACGGCAGCGATGCACGTGGCAAGAGGGCGCACGGGATGGGCAAACTCGAGGGAGCTGAGTATGCAGGGGGCCATGTAGGATTACAGAAAAGGGCTGAGATAGGGCTTAGCAGCACGCTTGGGAAGAACTCAGGGCCCCTCCAAGCTCCGACCCAATCCTGGCTGGAAGACTTTGCACCCGAGAGGCGCCGGAAAAGGGTCGCTTTGCGACAGCGATCGCGAGTGTCACGATGGGCCTATGGGGATGGCCTTACAACGTTTTCACCGCCCCCGAACGACCCAAACCTAAAATGCCCAAAACTGACTTCTTCTGCACAGGCCCCATTCCAGGCCGGTTTGGGCCTCTGGGCTTCCTCTGGGCTTGCCCTTCGAGTGACACTCTGCTCTCTTGTTGCTGTGGACTTACAAGCTCCCTTCAAGGGCTCTTCAAAGCCAAATCTTCAGCGGATGTCTGGGGTCGCAGGCTATGGCGGCTATGGCCGGCGTTCAGAAGCCGTGGGCAGGTGGCGGGCGAAATTTGAAGGTGAAGTTTCGTGCACAAAGAAGAGTTTGGCTGTCTGGCGAGAACAAGTTCAGCATCTCTGGAAGCCAGATCAATAGCTCAGTAACGGCGAACGAGTTTGAGCGGCCCGGAACCAAGACTCCAAAAAACCCTAGTTGTGTTGACCGTCAAACACAATGGTAACGTGTAACGTGGGTTCCGCATGTGCGATACGGAAGGGTGTATAATGTGCTCACCTGAACATGCCTGAACATTGTCGGGGCCCCTGTGATAAACTACAATTGCTGTCTCTCTGATATCAAAACCCACGCCGAACTGATCCGAAATGACAAACTCATGTTTCCAACACGGTGAGGCCTGGGACGCAGACCCCCACGAGAGCGACTGGAAGATGTGCGCAGCGTGCATGGGTCGACGTCCGAGTGCGCGTGGCTCCCTTCTCGTTCGTGACAGCCTCTGTTGGTGTAGGGCTTTCGGGGGCATCCGCAGAGGACTTGGGAAGCCATCTTCTGCCAAGGAAACGTTCATGAACATGAAAATTGGCTCTGCCGGGTCGGAACCTTTCAGCCGCAGACCTCAGCGCCTCCGACACTTTCCGGCCGCACGTCTCTTAAGTCTTCTAAAGGCCCTTAAGCCGGATGGCGCGAAGCGAGGTTGTGAAGGCTCCGGCCACACTCTCGCTCACTCGCGGGGAGTTCGATCTCCACGCAGGCCGGCTGGTGAAGTATTAGTGTGCTACAGCTCAAAGGTGCAAAGAGTTCTCCCCTTGAAAATGGAATGAAGGTGCGACCGCCAAGAAACAAGCTTTGAACCCATGGCTTAAGTTTGCGAAGGGAGTAGGGAGCCATGCTTCAAGTTGATGTCACTGTGAATCTCCGGACCTGAATACCACTCTTGGAACCACGAAATACAAGGAGTATAACTATGACACTGTACTACTATTTGCGTAAGAACGCGATGGATGTCCCTGAGCCTTCAATGGCGCCTCGAGCGACAGGGCTGCCGAATAGCACTCCAAACGCCAACCAAGCCCAAAAACATTTGCCATGAACTGTTCTTAGAACCTGTTCGCAAACTTAGGTTTGCATGAACTTTGGAGTTAAAACCAACAAAACCAACAAGACTTAGCAGAAACAGAACAGATCGAGGCTTGCCACCCCAAAAAAAAGACCAAACCCTAGACCTTGAAGCCTTAAACCTCTAAACCCCTACAGCCAGTGGGGCCGGAGGGGGCCCAGGGGCCCAGAACCGGGGTTTCAGTATCGCCGGCCCGCGCTTCGACCCCTGTTGGCGTAGGGGCTGTAGTCGCTGTAGTCCTCACGGAGCCCCTTATCACACTGCTACAAATTACAAGATTGTAATCTTGCAAAATTATTCTCTAACAAATCTCATCTGGTATGACTAAGAAATAGGTGTCTTAGGTCAGATGAAAAGAGCCATTCCAAAACAAAGGCCTCGTATTGAAGAGTACCTCACCTACCAGCGAAGAGATGTTGCGTGTGCGTGATAGGAAAGAGAGGACCAATCAAGCCGATTCCTTGTGTTTAGCTGCTTGCAGCAGGAACTAAACATCAAGATGCTACAAGTAGGGAGAAACGAGGGGTTATTGGCGCTTGCTGTTAGATTGCTTGTCTTCATGAAGTCGGTCTCGTCGTTCATGACAGACAGATTGCATGCAGACGAACTGAACATTAGAATATGAAGGCGAAAGTGTACTCGCGCACACACCCGTGCCCACAGGCACACACTTACGTGTAACTCAATTCCTTCGATAGCCGCTCAGAACAAAGTTCTAATGAACCAAGTCCCTCTAGCCTCCAAGCTGAATACCAAATCGACTAAACAAAGCTTGAACTCTCACGGCCAAGGTACATCGTCACCATCGCCATAGCTAGGGCGTCCTTCAAGAGTCTTCTTACTCTCTGTCAGTCCATTCCGAATCTAATTAAAAAAACATGTTGAAGCCGGGTTTCAAACTTGAAGGGAAAAAAGGCACCGCTGTAAGGGGCAACCCTGACATTCCCAGTGCTTATCCCAGATTTCTGAAGCTTTGTCCTGAGGGTGGGGGCGTTCTAGAGTTACGTTGGGCTTTCTGGGCGTGAGATGCACGTCGTAGATTCATAGACAATTAGCTTTTGCCTGAGGACGGCCCCGATTGAGGGATTCACCTCAGCCCTTCCCGGAGAGGAGTGAGCAATTCAAAGAGAGACTCCGTACTCGATCATAAAACATCGACCTTCTTAAGCAGGTCGTGACCAACAGGTTCGTACTATGGCGCTTCCCCGGCTGACGGGCTCACTGCAAGAGGGTAAATTCGAGGTACTTGCAGCAGCGCCCTTGCACTCACGCGCACGCACCCACCCACACACGCACGCACACCGCTCTTGCCACCATCTGCGAGAGTCTGGAACTAGGCCACGCTGGACATCCAGCCAACAAACAGCACGAGATGGGAAAACTTGCTGCTGGGACAAAAGGACGAAGCAATACAACTTACAAGGCTCATTGCTCGCTAGGTCAATCGGGTTTCAGGCTTCGGGTTCTTCTTGAAACTCTCGGAAAAACCTCCCTCCAAAACCATCCGACAAAGGAGGCCTCTGCCGCCTCTGCCACCGGAACTGAAGACATCGTCGTCATCTCCGTAGCCGCCGCTGTAGCCTCCTGCTACAGTGCTGCTGCAGTGCAAGGCCCTGTCCGAAACTCTGATTGGAGTTAGCATCAGAACTCAAGATCAGGGATGGTGAGGGGTCACACAGTAGTGAGTCTTGCGCTGGCTCTGCTCTTGCAATTATCGGCCGGATGCGCCCCGTGGCGGCTTCTCAAAAATCGGCTACTGTGGACAGAGGGAGAACTGGGTGGGCATTCAACCTGGCATAATCAACATGAAAGAGATAATATAGGTAGTGGTACTTCAGAAATAGGAAAAGCGACAAAACACAAAACACAGCCAATCACACCCGCAGTGTTCCTGAACGTCTGTCACCCTTCTTTCGGGGGCGCAACATGGCGCAACTTTCACTGGTCAGGGCCCCATCCCCCCCCCCCCCCCCCCCCCCCCCCCCCCCCCCCTTCCCCTTCCCTTCCCACCTCTGTTTGAGGAGCGGTAGCCAGGGCTGGCACTCCGGCTCCGGAAGCCTCCTGGTCCTGCCAGGCACTTAGACGCTTTAATCTCTAAAGAAGATGCAAGACATGCTGATGTTCCCCACCTCCCTGGCGATATCCGCCGCTGCTGTATCCGCCGTAGCCACCGCCGCCGCCACCGCCGCTGCGGTAGCCGTTGTTTCGGTAACCTCCGTGTTCTCTTAAGCCGGGAGCTTATGTCAGATCGGGTCAAAAAGTGATGCTTGGGTGGGCCGTGTATGAGGAGTGGACATGCATGTGCGATCTTGATGCGGATTTTCACACGGCATCCGCCGTCCGGAGAGGTCTTCTTTTGGAGCCTTCGCCCTTTCTCTCCAGCTGTACATCCAATCACGCAGACAACCTGGACTCTTTACAACGGTTGTGACCAGGATTCCGGAACATCGTCACAAGAGACGTCTCAAGCATTCAGCTGAATTTGGGAGGTCGACAAGAGCATCTGTGCTGGGCGCGCAAGCCCATGCCGACCCGTTGCATATTTACAGAATGTACAGATGCCTTTGCTGAGAGACGTGCCTTGGTACGGTCTGACCGCACTCCAGCTTCCAGATCCCTTGAAACTGTATAGTATATATAGCGTGTAAAGATAAAGTTTTAGAATGCATGGAGCAACCTCGCACATTGCTCCGCGTGGAAGGGGCTTACTGCATCTGGCCACGAAATGGCCAGAGATCTTGGCTGCACTTGCTCTGCTTGCTTGCTGAGCATCATCGCGCAAACCTGTGTCTGGGGACGTTCAGGGCGAGCGGGAGCTTTGCAAAGCATCATGGCGCAGTCACCTCCCATGTGGCTAGCTGCCTCCGGCCAGGATGTAGTGGTGCTGGCACTGGTCCCTCTGGCCCTGGCTGGCTCCTGATGAGGCTTCGTCAGCATCATGGCGCAGTCAGCTCCGATGGGGCTAGCTGCCTCCGGCCAGGATGCGGTGGTGCTGGCACTTGTCACTCTGGCCCTGGCTGGCTCCTGATGAGGCTTCATCAGCATCATGGCGCAGTCAGCTCCGACGGGGCTAGCGGCCTCCGGCCAGGATGCAGTGTTGCTGGGACTGGTCCCTCTGGCCCTGGCTGGCTCCTGATGAGGCTTCGTCAGCATCATGGCGCAGTCAGCTCCGATGGGGCTAGCTGCCTCCGGCCAGGATGCGGTGGTGCTGGCACTGGTCACTCTGGCCCTGGCTGGCTCCTGATGAGGCTTCACCAGCATCATGGCGCAGTCAGCTCCGATGGGGCTAGCTGCCTCCGGCCAGGATGCGGTGGTGCTGGCACTGGTCACTCTGGCCCTGGCTGGCTCCTGATGAGGCTTCATCAGCATCATGGCGCAGTCAGCTCCGACGGGGCTAGAGGCCTCCGGCCAGGATGCAGTGTTGCTGGGACTGGTCCCTCTGGCCCTGGCTGGCTCCTGATGAGGCTTCACCAGCATCATGGCGCAGTCAGCTCCGATGGGGCTAGCTGCCTCCGGCCAGGATGCGGTGGTGCTGGCACTGGTCACTCTGGCCCTGGCTGGCTCCTGATGAGGCTTCATCAGCATCATGGCGCAGTCAGCTCCGACGGGGCTAGAGGCCTCCGGCCAGGATGCAGTGTTGCTGGGACTGGTCCCTCTGGCCCTGGCTGGCTCCTGATGAGGCTTCACCAGCATCATGGCGCAGTCAGCTCCGGTGGGGCTGGCTGCCTCCGGCCAGGATGCGGTGTTGCTGGCACTGGTCACTCTGGCCCTGGCTGGCTCCTGATGAGGCTTCATCAGAATCATGGCGCAGTCAGCTCCGATGGGGCTGGCTGCCTCCGGCCAGGATGCAGTGTTGCTGGGACTGGTCTCGCTGGCTGGCTCCTGACGCGCCTTCATCAGCATCAACGCGCACTTGGCCTGAACAGGACTGTCGGGCTCTGGCCACGAGATGCCCTTCAAGGGCGCTGGCAGAAACACTCGCCGGGTGCAGGACATCACAAGATTTCCCCTGAAACGTTTGAATTGTGTGCGAAACGGCTGCAAGACGCCCAAAGTTCAACACCAGTGAATCTAGAGCTTCAGCTCGGCCAAGCAAGTGCCTACAATAAAGCGACTGCCACTTTCCTCAGCTCTGTTCATGAAAAACGGAATTTACCCTTGCCTCCCCGGGAGGAAGACCGTGAGCCGCCCCGCGAGGCGAAAGCCATCTCCTCAAGACAAAGGTTACCCAAACCCTGATGGAGTGCCAAGTCTGCTAAGTGTAAGTGGGGGGTTATCGGGAACATGGCGTCCGCCCCCCCCCCCCCCCCCTTCCTACAGCCTCTCTCACCACGAGCCTCGAGGGCCAAGACAAGTGCCGCGGGTGCAAAAGTCACTCTGTGGCAGTCTGGACTTTCAAGGTCAGAGTCTCTCTCTTTGGATTGTCTTCAGGATTTCTTGGAGGGCTTGTTTTGGTCGATGTCGTGGGTTTCTGGTTTCGAGCACCTTCCGGTTCGTTGATGGAGTACACGGGTCTGGAAGCCAGCTGCTTTGATTCCTTCGGTGCATCTCGGCTCACGTTTCCGCCTTAGCGGGTGTTTTTGCTCGCGTCCCGTGCCAGAGTTCCTATTCAGGCTTTCTGCGCAGCTCATGCTGCGAAAACCGTGGCCGACATTGCCCGACCGCTTCTCTCTGAGACCCGACTTCGCTTGGACAAGGAAGGGCATGGCATCGGATGCTCTGAAAGATAAAAAACCTGAAAAGGCCCTTTAAGCCCTTGGGAATGTTCAACAACGGAAACCAAAAAAAAACTGAAGCCTCTGAAACTTGCAGCTCCTGCAGCCACCGAGGCACCTCGGAGGCAGTGTCGTCCTCCTGGGGCGGAGCTTTGTCGAGGTCCCCCGTGTGTTTTAAAGTGCAAGGAGATGTGCAAGGCATATTCATCCCCAAGTCCACGTCCAAAGCTCAAACCTAAGACCAACAGCCCGATCACTAGCTGATTCTCGCATGGATCCCTGGTTTGGTCGTCTGGGTTCCGTCCCAACCTTGAAGGCTCTGTGGTCGTTCACTGGTCTTTCGCAACCATAGCTATGTCCCAGAAATGCAACCCCGCCCGCCCACGCACAATCCAGTTCGCACGCGTCATCCGCAGCTTCAAAAGGGCACAAAAAGCGCCTCGCACGTCAACTGCCAGGCCGGGAGGCGTATGCTGTCTGAACTGTTTGCCACAGGGTGGACAGCTGTGAGACACATCTTGGAGTGGAGTGTGGGTCCAGGGCCACGATGGCAAACACATCCATGAAAGCAGGAAGACAGACCACTCTTTATTAGAGAGCACCGAACCGGGCGAGGCAGAGGGGTTCCTCCATCCCAGGGAACCGCCGCGGGGAAACATGCGGCCGTGGCAACGAACGCTACTGTGGAGCATTCCCTCCATTCCAAGAGTGCACCTGCGGTGACATTCTGCAGCTCGGACTTCCGAGGACCCGGAAGGTGCAAAAGGGCAGCATGACAGGGAGTTGCCACCGGCTTGGGCACAGCCACCTCTTGTTCAGCCACCTCTTCTTTTGAATAGGTGACACCATCTCCACCTACATCTTCTCAGCAGGCAATAATAATATCATACAATATCATAATCGTACAATATTATGATACAAGACAGTTCAGAATATTTGTCCATAAAGCTCAGGAGGCCCGACAGCAAGGAGCCTTCTACTCTGCGAAGCGGCATTTGTTGGAGGATGCCGTCTGCCTGCTTTGTCTTTCGTGTGCTTTGTGACCCTCTTCTTTGTCAGTCTTGGTCAGGGTGGCCTTCTTGGCATCCTGCAAGGATCGGACGATGTCCTGCCGCTGCTTGTGGGGCTTTAGGACTGAACTTCTTACGAGCAGGTGCTTTTGAAGAGTCCGATTGCATGACTACCGTCACCACCGGCTCAAGAAAGAAGCAGAGCAGAGGGTGAGCACCAATGAAGCCCGAAGCCCGCAATGTTAAAAGCCTTTGTTCCAACTCTGAGACCTGGCCCACTTAATCCGCTTGGAGGATGCCTTGAGCGCGGGCTCTTTGGAGCCCACGAAGGAGGTGGCAATGCCCTTGTTGCCGATTCGGCCTCATCTTCCGCGTACTGCAAAGCCACACTCACTCTCTCTCTCTCTCTCTCTCTCCTGCAAAAAGAAGATGGGTGTGGGCGGGTGGGCACCCGGGTAAACATGCAACCCAGGCCCGTTAGCTAAATTGTGGACATGCGGGTTCTTCAAATTGTGGGCTTCGTCTTCGCTGCACTTCTTGTCGAAGGCTCGACAAACTGTCGAAGGTGTGACTGCCGCCACTATGCCGGATTTGGGGACGTTGATGGCAAGGGATGTCAAGTTGTAAGCTTTGGGGATGCAGTTCTTTCGCTGGTCCGGCCGTCGATTTCAATATAGTCCAAGTGGCTAGATACCGACGGAACCTTCTCAACAACACTGCTACCAGACAACGCTTCGGTGACATCTGTTGGAATAGACGCCAAAGGTGGACTTCCAGTGCGAGGTTGCATGTTGCAAGGCTTGCGGCTCAAAAGATGCACTGAACGAGGGCTCAGAAAAATGCGATTTGGGGGGAATTCTTGGTGGCGAGTGATGTTTCTGCATTCAGGGTAAAGCGGGTAAAGGTTCTGAGGCCAGTCTTCGGGCCCGAGCCATTGGTGACCGATAAAGTTCCATGTTGTTGAATCAGGCATAAGACCGTCTGCTCTGCCAACACCACACCACCTTCATTGGCTCCTGTCACATCCCGTCGCCGCTCATATGGGGGCTTACGAGAATCAGGGACCCGTGATAGGACAAACCCCCCCAAATAGTAGGATGCCCTTCTGCAAGGCGGAAACCTCCAAATGAACGAAGCCCTAAACCCTAAACCCTAAACGCTAACCCGTTCAAGCTTCACGGCTGCTGTCCCGGGAGCCGGTTCTGCCGACTCGATGGACGTAGTCGTCACCGTTCCTCCGGTTTCTGCGAACTTTTCAGGACCCCGAGGACTGGCCCATGAGTGTGTGAGCTCTGGCTCGGAGGGCCTTGCACAAACCCCTGGAAAAAGACCTCCTAAGTACGATCCTATTGGACCCAGTAAGGGGCAACATGAAATATCAGAACACCTCCCTGCGATTGCAACTTCCATCCCGCCAAACTGGACCATGAGTCCTCAAGGGCACCCCACGAAATCTTGGAATAAGGCAGCCGGTTCATATGCTGTGCGCAAAGTGCGTACCCACGCTTTGAGATCTCCCTTCCTGTGCAGGCAACAAGTCTTCAATCCCGGCCGCGATTTGCCAAGACTAAGTCCCTCATGAGCAACTCTCATAGACGTGCAGACACACACACTCCACATAAACACTTGTACTTGTGTACTTCTAACGAAAGACAATTCTGGACACGAGAGCAGGATCTGCGAGAGGTTCAAAGCTGGGTGAAACGATGAGTTTCGGACATCGTAATTTGGTTTCACGTCGTCCCAAACCAGCTTCGCCAGCTTTCAAAGCTGCTGCACTTTGCAAGGCAGATCCCCAAACTCAAACCATCTCAAGCTCTGTTTCACTAGATTGCTTGGCCCTTGAAGACCCTCTTGAAGAATCGTCGCCTGAAACATGCAGGCCTGAAAAAGCATACTACAGATACATATACAGATATATGTGTATATGTATGTGTATAAATAAATATATATATATATATATATATATACATATACATATATGTATATGTGTGTGTGACTCATGAATGTACAAGCTGTATATTACACACATAATATAACTATATATAAATATATAAATATATAAATATATAAATATATAAATATATAAATATATAAATATAAATAAATATATATATATATATATATATATCATAGATAAGCATGTTCCCATTACTGATCGCCCAGCTGCATTGGCAGGTCGTAGTTGATCACGTGGTCGATGCCCGGCAGGTCCAGACCCCGGGCTGCGACGTCGGTGGCGACCAGGACCTGTGACAGGAAGCCCTGGTGTTCATAGGGTTTGGGGTTTAAAGTTTAAAGTGTATAGGGTTTAGGGACCTTTGCATAGTTTAGGGGGATGTTGACTGCTTGCCTGTGTCCGGTGCTGCTCTTTTGTTCCTGTGTGTGTGTGTGTGTGTTGTTAGCAGGCCCGCTTGGAGGTGCATTCCTCGATCGGCGCGATGCCTGCCCCCCACACTAAGCCCCACGTCCAAAGACCTCCCCATATCAAGCGGCATCGAGGCGACATTTTTTTTACAAATCTACTTTCGGGGGGGTGTAGGAGCCCCAAAAACCCCAAAGTTCCCCCAAGAAGTATCCCTAAACCCTGCTGTATGATATCCTCGTAGGACGACTTAGCATGACTCATGTCCTTGGGCTGCCACATGGGCGCGGCCAGTGCGCAGGGCGTTGAGCGAGCGATCGCGCTGGGACTGGTTGACGCCTGGCAGGGAATGCATCATCTAGCTGCTGCGACTTGTGACGTCTAGGCTCCCATGCACAAGGACGCTCAGCAATGAGACTTGTTCCGAATCGACTTTGCGCGTGCAATTCGGGCCTCGCTACACCCTTAGAACCTCCAGGGCCGCAAGCCCTCAAATCAATTCGTGGCTCAGCTGGCCGTTACACTGTAGCGGGCGGAGCTCCCAAAAAACCCTCGAAGCAAAAGCCCCAGAACAAGCATCCAGACACACACCGACACACTCGCAACTTGCTACGCTTGTCAGTTGGAATTGTTGGAATTGCCTTTTTTGCTGGGAAGAATCAGGTCCAGGCCTCCGTGCATGCTGGTGCAGCGGATGCGCTCGTCCTGCAAGCGATAGCATATGTCGTCCACCTGCGATGCGGATCGATGCGGGCATGCGGGCTTAAGAACGGCATTAGCTCCTGGCCCCCCCCCCTGCATCTCCTTCCTTTTCCTCTCTGGGATCTAAGGGTTTAGCTGAACATCCTAGGCTTCACATTCCTAGTAGAGCACGCTAAACATGGAAAGAAGTCTTGTCACAAGGGCAATCTTGATATGTTGCGAGAGTTGACACCTCCTAACGACGCAAGCCTGACCCGCCGCGATGGCACGGGAAGCTTAGGGGCAGCAAGCACAGAAGAATGCCCGTGCGCTCATCAGGCTGAAATTCCGGTCTTATGTTGCAAGCCCCACTTCGCAAGCCTCTCTCTTCGAGTTGGCGAAGACGATAGTCTTGGCGGGCCCTCCATCTGCCGACTTCACCTGGCAATGATGATTCGCGCTTGTGAAGTTATTACCACTCTAGGATCCAATCAGCTTGGCGAGCCCTGACTTCAATCAAATGCCTTGGGTCCGGGACTCCTTAGTCGGCGCTAGGGAGCTTCATCTTGCCGACGGCTTAGGACGCGCTTGGGGACCGTGAACTGTGTGCATTCGAGGGTGAGCAGTGTCCACAGTTCACGATGTAGTCTTACCACAAAGGTGTGAGGGCGCTGAGTTACTTGGCTTTCACCATGCACAGCAGGGCGACGTGACTTTTCCGCGCTGCCATTAACCCTGAACGGGTTTTAACTGCGAACACGACTGGCAAAGACACCACCCTAAAAATAAGACCCTAGCTGGTTTCCTTGGTTCGCTCTTTGGACCCTCCAAAAGATCTTACGGACGATCCTCGAAGAATACAAAATCTCCCAAGAACCTCCATGGCCCGCCAAAGCGAGCAGGTTTATGATGAGGGTTGTTAGTGATCTGGACAATCGGTTAGTTCGTTTCGTGCGGCATCCCAACTGTAAGAAGGCAGATTCCACCTGGAATTGGCCCTGATCCCAAAAACAATCTACCCCCCCCCCCCCCTTAAGGGCCTTAACCCTAAACCCCTATAAACCCCCAAGCCCTGATCCCCCTCCCCTTGAACTCAAGAGAGCCTCCGTCAAGGACTCCATAAGTTGCTCGAACTTGTCGCCTTCGGATTCGGTGATTCTTGGTGCTTCAACTCTCGGCTTCTGGGAGTCGTGAGGAGATGATTCGGAGCGGTGCTTCTTTCGGTTTTGGAGCCGAGGAAGTCCTTTTAGGGAAAGGCATCTCTTGGGCAGCAATGAGCTGCCGCGCATATCTTGATCAGAAGGGGCTGGTGGAAGGAGGGCCGCATCAGTCAGGGCCCTTTTGCCAGGCGTCAGTTTTGGGGGTGCCAAGGGTGCGCATTGGTTGGTGCGTAATACATAGTTAGGGGATAGGATTAGGGGGAGCCTTGGGGGGATAGACCCTCTGAATCAGATCCCTGTTTAAGAGAACCCTCTCCAAGAAGGGTTCCCTTTTAAGGGCCCCCCCTTCTCCTACCTAGTAATGCTCGAATTTAGAATCTGCTGATCTCGGCAAAGTGTTTGGCGCTTTTGGGTGCAGAGCAGGGGTATTCCTTCAATTTTCATATCAGGAGCCGAGGATACAAGAAAAAACAAAGGCTTAAACCCGAATCAGCTCCCCCGCATCGTGGGAACGGGACAGGGTCCAAGTTGTTGCACGGAGTGGCCCCAGCCGACGTTCTCGAAGCGCTGCTCGACGTTTGCGGCGGTGGCTCCGACCCGGCCTCACAGTGTGTCCGGTGCACACAGTCTATGAAGAGCTTAGTGTTCGAAGCTCGTGGTGGCAGAGGTCCGCAGACGTGCCACATGGCAGAGATGCTTGGCCTTTGCAAAGGTTGTCTGCGGCTCCAAGCCCGCTTGAAATCGACAGGTGAATCGATTTTCTGTTCAACTACCGCCAAATCACCGAACCCGCGCCTACGGAGATAGAGTAGTAATTCGGGTCGAGGAAGTCCATAGCCAACTCCTGCCCATGCGGGCGGCTCAGGCGCTCGCTCTCTTTTTTAATACTAATATTCTTGTTCTATCATTTTGTCATTCGGTCATGTTGCAATTAATACCTTATGTTGCTTAGGGGGGGTGGGGGTCTGAAGTTGGGAGGGTTCCAGAAGCTCATCAGCTGCACGGGAGCCTCTTTGAGGATGGACCTTAGAGCCTTAGAGGGTGACTAGGTGTCGCAGTCTCAAGTTGTTGGGGAACGCGACGGAGCCCCCCAACTCTTTCGACCAGAAGTCTCCTGAGGAGCACCACCGCATAGTCACTAAGTTGTTAAGCTGAGAACGAAGCCGGGGGCTCCTGGATCTCTCGCGGGAAGGTGGCCGAGAACATCCTCGGTTTTCGGCGTTCAACTTCAGTTGCGAATGCCAAGGCTCTTTGGGGCTCTTACGTCCTGAGCCGTGTCACGTTGGTCGTCCGCAGTTCGCAGCTCCCCAGTTCAGATACTGTCGGGCAATGGAAATGCCATCAGCTTGATCGAACGCTCATGTTGTTGCTGGGCTCCGCAAGAAGGCCCCCCTCTGCAAACTCCTCAACCCTCAGATCCTAAACCCTCACAAGCAACATGCACCCAGAAACCCCCAAAAAACTAGAAGAGGGATGGCCCGAAAGCATCGATTTGCCGTGCGTTCGTTGACTCCATGCACTTGACTCTTTGTAATCGAACTGTATGCACTTGGAGAAATGTATGCCCTTACATGGTTGCATAGTCACTTGTACACTGCACTTGTATGCACTGGAACTGCATGGCATTCAAGTGTGTGGAGTTGAATGCCATGCACTTGTGGTCAACTCTGTAGACTTTTCATCGGCGTTGAAGACAACGCCGAGCTCCAGCGGCCGGTCGCGGCACGCACCTGCGCCGGTGCAAGGAAAGAAGCAAAAACCACACAAGCACAAAAACAGACAAAAGAGGTGGAGTCTAAGTAAGGGCCGTGCATGTTGGTCGCCATGGAATACCTGCGCGCAGAAAACAGCTTTACTTGCAAGTCGGTCGACAAAGGTGCCAATCGTCCCGGGCGGTCCTAGCTGCATTTTCACACGCGCGTGCGTCGCAGTGTCCATACTAAACATAGCCCGGACGGCGTCCATGCGGTTCTGCAGCCGCGCTTTCGGGCCCTGCCTCCGCTGTGACGTCAAAACTCGCCCTGCCCCGCGGGCTGCGTCCCCACACTTTCGCAAATCCACAATACAATGCAACTTGCCCCAGCCAGCGCCCGCAACTGCTTGACGGTCTTCTCCGCCAGCTCCCCGCGTAGCCAAGCCACGCCATGAGCGGCAAAACCTTCTCGCAGGCCCTGCAGCTCTGGCTGCAGCGCAGCGCCAGCTTCATCCTGTTCGAAGGTCGACAAGAAAAGCCTGAAGCTGCCCTAGTCAAGAGACACTGTCGCACGCGCCGCTTGAAGCCAGCTCCAAGCAACGAAAATCATGACCCCTGACCTGCCTAGAAATACACAGGATATGACACACTAACCTTGCAGAACAGGATGTACGGGACAAAAAGAGAGGCTTTCCCCACAACGCCTCCTGCTCGGAAATGCGCTGCGACAGAGCGTGCAGAAGCTCCTCTCTGTTTCGCGTGCTCGCGCCAGAGCCCTGTCCTGCGCCCGCAGCGCCAGCAAGCTCACGCAACTGCGCGACCGTCTTGTTCGCAAGCTCCTGGCGCAGCCAAGCTGCACCTCTAGCACGGAAACCACGCCGCAGCGCCTGCATAGCATCCCCGCCGGTGTACGACATGCCTGGAACTACAATACAGCGCACCGTCCAAGCTGGCGCCACGGTTTCACTCAATAGCGCCTCTCGGGCCAAAGCTAGCACGCACGCTTGTAAAGCAACGCATCATGAGGTGGTCAACACAGCAACATGTCAAAGCATGAATTCAGTTCTACGCACGCGGCACACGCAGACAGTGCAGGATGCCTTCTCGTGTTTCTTGATGTTGTAACACCACCTACACGCAGCAACAGTGCAAACAACAGACATGCAGCACCCGAACGCTAGCACAGACACACAGTGCGGGACGCCTTCTCCCCTTCATTGATGTCGTCGCGCCCCAGGACATCCAGATCGGACATCGCCCAAACATGTTACATTTGATCACTTCCCACAGAGAGACGAGTCTAAGCGCAGGACTGGTTGCCTCCCTCCAATCGACATCACTGTTTTCCCGGTCCACTGTATGTTCCGTGCCCATGTTATTTGCGACGTTTTCGAAGCCCAAGAGGTCCGCACGTCCGGAATTCCGCTTCCATGCTATTTGCGAGGTCTTCAAGCATGTCCGGAATTCCGCTTCCATGCTATGCTATTTGCGGTGTTTTCAAGCGCCCAGTTGTCCGTTACCATGCTATTTGCGGTGTTTTCAAGCACCACATGTCCGTTACCATGCTCTTTGCGGTGTTTTCGAGCGCCCAGATGTCCGTTACCATGCTATTTGCGAGGTTTTCAAGCATGTCCGGAATTCCGCTTCCATGCTATTTGCGAGGTTTTCGCATGTCCGGAATTCCGCTTCCATGCTATTTGCGGTGTTTTCAAGCGCCCAGTTGTCCGTTACCATGCTATTTGCGGTGTTTTCAAGCGCCATATGTCCGTTACCATGCTCTTTGCGGTGTTTTCGAGCGCCCAGATGTCCGTTACCATGCTATTTGCGGTGTCTTCATGCGCCCAGATGTCCGTTACCATGCTATTTGCGGTGTTTTCATGCGCCCAGATGTCCGTTACCATGCTATTTGCGGTGTTTTCAGACGCCCAGCGTGTCCGCGGCGTACTACGTCTGTACTACAAACAGTCGACAAGCATGTCCGGAATTCTGCTTCCATGCTATTTGCGAGGTTTTCGCATGTCCGGAATTCCGCTTCCATGCTATTTGCGGTGTTTTCAAGCGCCCAGTTGTCCGTTACCATGCTATTTGCGGTGTTTTCAAGCGCCATATGTCCGTTACCATACTCTTTGCGGTGTTTTCGAGCGCCCAGATGTCCGTTACCATGCTATTTGCGGTGTTTTCATGCGCCCAGATGTCCGTTACCATGCTATTTGCGGTGTTTTCATGCGCCCAGATGTCCGTTACCATGCTATTTGCGGTGTTTTCAGACACCCAGCGTGTCCGCGGCGTACTACATCTGTACTACAAACAGTCGACTTTCCAGCCACGGCAGCTCCGCGTGTCCGCGGCGTACTACGTTTGTACTACAAAATGTCAACTATCCAGCCACGGGGAAGCTCCGGGGGCGTCCGTGGCGTACTACATTTGTACTACAAAAGTCGACTTTCCAGACACGGGGAAGCTCCGGGCGTCCCCGGCGTACTCCATTTGTACTACAAAAGTCGACTTTCCAGCCACGGAAGCTCCGCGTGTCCGCGGCGTACTACGTTTGTACTACAAAAATCGACTTTCCAGCCACGGAAGCTCCGGGTGTCCGCGGCGTACTACGTTTGTACTACAAAAAGTCGACTTTGCAGCCACGGAAGTCCCCGGCGTACTATGTCTGTACTACAAGAGTCGAAAAACAAAAAACGCAAAAACACGACGGTTTTGGCACCGCGACCACGCGAAAACCCGCAGAGGGGTTACGTTTGTATGTCAGGAAACGCAAAAACACGACGGTTTTGGCACCGCGCCAACGCCGACACCCGCAGAGGGGTTACGTTTGTATGTCAAAAAACGCAAAAACACGATGGTTTTGGCACCGCGCCAACGCGGAAACCCGCAGAGGGTTGACGCGCGCACGAAAAAAATGCAAAAAACGATGGTTTTAGCACCGCGACCCGGCGATTAGCCGCAGAGGGTTGTCCGCGCACCGACAAAAACGCAAAAAAACGACGGTTTTAGCACCGCGACCACGCCGAAACCCGCAGAGGGTTGTCCGCGCACCGACAAAAACGCAAAAAAACGACGGTTTTAGCGCCGCGACCATGCCGAAACCCGCAGAGGGTTGTCCGCGGACACAAAGAAACGTAAAAAAACGACGGTTTTAGCGCCGCGACCACGCCGAAACCCGCAGAGGGTTGTCCGCGGACACAAAGAAACGTAAAAAAACGACGGTTTTAGCACCGCGACCACGCCGAAACCCGCAGAGGGTTGCAATCCCGATTGGCGATGTCAACCCAGCCCGCCGCCTTAGAAAGAGTAATTTTAATTTAGAAATCTAGGACTGGGTACGAAGGTCTAGTAAATTCTACGTAAATCTTGAAGTTTGTATTCACTTGTATACTAAACTCTATGCAATTCACTCTATGCACTCTTCACTCTATGCACTTCACTCTATGCACTTCACTCTATGCACTTCACTCTATGCACTTCACTCTATGCACTTCACTCTATGCACTTCACTCTATGCACTTCACTCTATGCACTTCACTCTATGCACTTCAGTCTATGTTGTTGTGTCAGGGGGCTCCGCACGGAAGAACCCTTCGCGATGCTTTCGGGAAAACTCAACGCCGCCAAACCTCCCCTGCCCTCCTCGCGGCTTCCCCCTTCCCCTTCCCAGCCGCTTCCTCCGAGGCGCATGGTCTGGCGACCCCGACCTGCTCCGGGCATCCCATGGTTCTCGATGATCTCCCGGATCTGGGGCTCGAAGCCTTGGCTCCAAAGGCTGCAAAGAGAAAACAGGAGCTGCTCTTCAGGCTGTGCGATTTCGGCTTGAAGATCTACTGGTTTCAGCGCTTGCCTGCCCCTGAATTCGTCCAGAACATGTTCCTCTACCCGATCTTACCCAGGACCCGCAGCAAGAGTTGCTTCCAGTGCTTCCGAGAGCAAGGCAAACCCTTGTTCTCCTTTGGAATGTTCATCGCCCAAACCAAACTCATGTAAAATCCTGCAACTCAACATCTCAAAGCCGGAGCAACAAGGAGGTCTGCCCAAAACGCAGCAAGACTTGAGCAAACCCCGGAGTCCCTTGTGCCCAACAATCGCAGAGGCATAGCTCTGTCAGAACAGCCTCGAGTAGGCGGCATGTTTCTTGTCCTTTGGCGTTTACGCGCTTGCATGGTTGCGCGCTTGCGTGGCTACGTGCTCGCGCGTGGGCGTGCATGAGCATGGGCGAGCGCGCAGGCGCGGGAGCGGGCGCGCGAGTGCCGATCTGAGGCAGGCTAGCGACCCATGTCCAGCATGCGGTCGGCCTCATCCAGGGCCAAGAACTTGACTTCCTGGCGGGCGTTTGGCTTCTCGCTGCTTGGAGAGCTCTTGGGGGCTTTCGGGTTCTGAGGCTCCGGAACTCGGAATGGCCCTAAGGTTGACAAGGGTGGACCAGCTCGGTGCTTCTTAGGGCTTATAGGCTTCACAGATAACTTCCGTCCTCACCACCTCTTTTCCCCGATCGCCATGGTCCCCAGGCGCCAAACCCCAGAGCTTAACTCTCATTGTCCGACACAAAAAAGGGGGGCTACAAACAAAGGAGAGCCCTTCCTCCGATCTTCAAAGCGTCACGCCTTTATGCGACAGACAGACTCACACCAAGGTCCCTTTCGGTTGAAGGGTGGGATGTGAGAGCTTTGGACCAGTGGCCTCCATGGAGATCACCCCGCGCTGGAGAAAATCCTGCACCACTTTTGTTTGTTTGGGGGTCTTGCGTCTTTCTGTTGAGGTTTTTTTGCTTTGGGGTCTTTGATGCTGTTCAAGGCTTGACGTCCTTTCGAAGGTAGAAGATGCAAGCCTTAACCCTCGAGCTTGCAAGAGGACAGCTGATACCTGGAAGGACCATCTAAAAGCCTGCTCCAATCATTAAGAGCTCACCTCCCTCCCCCTCATAAAACTGAAGCTGGTCCCACTTGCCCGATAAGTTCGGGCTGCTTAAGGTTTACCCATCTAAGCTCCAACTGGCCTGGTTGATGCAATGTGAACACTCAAGTTCTTGGCTTCTTCGGGCCTTGTTCGTAAATTGAGGGTCCAGAGGTCTTCAAGTCATGACCAGATGGTGGCCGCACCCAATCATATCCGTCACTCCACTTCCCAACTCAGAGCTCAGTGTCTTGGGGGTTCAACATCTCCTCACCATCATACTGCTGAATAGGGTGGCACGGAAAACTGGTCCTCCAAGCGCCCGGGGGTGCCTCGAAGCTTTCAAGGTGTTTCAGGGAGAAAAGACCGCCGAGGTGGCTTTGTCGGCTGCCAGGTTCCTCATCTTCTTGGTGAGTAACCATATGATCAGGGCACCCTTCAGGGAGTTGGCTGCTATCTAGCAACCCAAGGAACCTAGAACCAGAAAACCGGGCAAAAAGGTACCACTGGGCTACCAAGTTTTGAAGCCTTCGGGTGTTCCTAAAGAGGGCTCTTGGGCTTTTCCGGTGATCTTTATTGAGGCAGCCCGAAGCCCTGAACTCCCCCCCCCCAACTACCGCAACTCAGGCCTGGGCCGCTCCTTTGTAGACCCTGAACTTCACGGGCACTTGAAGGCCCCCCCTCCACCCCCCCAAAAGGCCTCTTACAATTTTTTAGGGTTTCGGGTTTAAAACAGGACGTGGGGGTTTAGACGAACATCGGGGTGTTTTGCGCCTGCTAGGGTCGGACTCCAATCCCCGACACGACCATGACATGACATGACATGACTGCTTTACGCATGCCGCGACATTTTCCTCATTGTGCTGACCTTCGTACCCTGGACATTTGCTCATGTACGATTTCCAGGCATTAGAATTAGAACATTGGAAGCAGCAGGGCAAGCAGAGTCAGATCCTGAACACCTTCGGGATAGGCCGAAGGACCCCGGAACTTCTTCGAAATGATACCATGCCTCCACTATTGCTGCCGGGCTGCACACGACGATCTCCACACCTCGAAGAACGAATTTAAAGGTTTAGGCAAGCACTTCCCGTGTTTGCAGTTCACGTAGAGATTTTTCGACTCCTTACATCTGGTCGTGTCTTGTTGCTTGTTAACCTCCGAAGCTGGGACTCGGTTCCCTCTTTCCAGAACTCAGAAACCTGCTTGACAAGTCGCTAACAGGTCCCTAAATAAACCCCAAACTCCAACCCGATGTCTTCAATCCTGCTCAAACACCAATCGAGACCTACACCACCTTCGTGCGTGAAAGGACTACGTAATAAGCCTGTCAAAAACACTCCCCCCTGACAAGAAAGCCCGCCCCGCCCAACGCCGAACCCTGCGGCCTCCCGCGATGGTCCGCAGCTGTGGGATGGCATCGGCCCCTGCCAGATTTCGTTTCGGGGCTCTTTGAGAGGTGGTAGCATACGACGTGTGAGGGAAGGGGCGAAAGGGCGTGTGAGTGCAGGGATGGTGCATATCTACACATGAATCCCTCGACCACGATCGTCGAACGGAGTCCTGTCAGATGAAGTGTCTCGCTTCATTGTTGCTGTCACGCCCTCAAACCCGAGCTTCTATGCAAAAGCCGCAGGTGCTCCCCATGAAGGAGCGCTGCCTCCATAGATGGCGCAGACGCGCGCGCCCGAGCGGAAGGTAAGCCTCGAGGGTGGTCAAGGGGACTTCAATTTTACAGGGCTCAGAAGGGGCTAGTGCGTGGGAAGGACGAGGGATGCTTGCGCAAAAAGGAAATCCCGAGGTCCAGAAAGAAGGCAAGTCTTCGTTCCAAGCTGGCACGTCCCAACGAGATCTTTGCAGGCTCCGGTCTTGCGACTTGTGACTTGCATAACACAAGAAAGCACCGGGTGGAGGGAAGGGGGGTACCAAGGGCTTCGCCTTGGCTGTGGGGCAAACACCGCACTGTTCCCCTCAAACTCTGAACTCCCTGAACTCTGAGCCCCTAAGATCCATACTGACTCCCTGCGAAGCCCTACAAAAGGGGTTCGGAGCTGTATGCCTGCTTCAAGCTCGAGGTGCCATATATCGTGTGGGCACTTCTCGTCATGGTGGTCCCCTTCTGGGTGTGCTCGTAGTATGATCTGGAACTGCTTAAAAGCTCCCCTCATTTAGGCAACCTGTGGGTAGCCGCAATCAGGCTTGGAGATTCGGAAGTCTGAAGCTGCTATCACCCCATGAAGTATCAGATCCATGAGTAAACGAATATCAATAATATTGCATGGCTTCCATGATTCTATGATAACCGGATTACATGATGACATGCTTGGAGCAATACATGTTTTGCATGACATGCGTACATGGCCATTTGCTGAAACCGTTAGCATGCTTCTGATGATTCTCGGCTTCTACGGGTATGTGATTCTCTTCTGGCCTGTGATTCTATATAATATGGCCACATTCACTACTTTAAAGCCCCCCCCCCCCCCCCCAAACAAAAAAACAAAGGTCGGCCTCTCGGCTTCTACGGTGATCTGCCTCGGCTCGGGCGTGGTCATTGGTTTTATGGTGGGTGATGAAGCCTATCTCAGCATGGCACCTGATACATGGATTAATCTCTCTCTCGCTCTCTCTGTCTCTTCTTCTTCTTTTTCTTCTGCCGGGCATGAGAGGCGCAAGCGCCCCCGCGCGCAAGGCGCTGAACGCCGGTCGCTCCCCCGATCTGCACACTTTCTCCACTTACCTCTCTCTCTCTCCCACTCTCACGCTCTCAATTGGTGCCAGTCAGTTCTGCTCACCCCCCAGCTGCCGCGCGAGTCGCTGGCAAAGCTCGCGGGTGGGCGACAACACCACGCTGGTGGGGCACACGGCGCCCTCCTGCGTAGGATAGAAGAACGGCTGCGATTTGGGGTTAGGGTTCCGTGCGCCCTCTTTGTTCATCATTCGGTAACAAGCCTACGAGGTAAAGCACGTCATTCGCGATTTACGGCTACGAAATTGGCTGACCTGCGACTATAAACTGCCGTCACTTGCTACTACACTGGAGAGGGGCTGTGCTGACTCAGCTGCGACTACATAACAAGCAAGCACACTCATCTATGACTTTTTTGGGGGGCAGTAGGGCCTAGAGTTTAGGATGCAAGGTTGGACTTTAGCTTCTTACGATTTTTGGGTGGGCGGTAGGGATTGGGGGTTTTGGGGTTTGGCGGTTTAACGGGGCTTCCGGGGTTCAGGGTGTCTCGGGCTTAGGGTGGTTCGGGGCTTAGGGTGGTTCGGGGCTTAGGCTTGCTAGGGCTCAGGGTGCTTTAGGGCTTTAGGAGTTTGGTGTCTTATATAGGCTGTTTTTTAGGTTTGGCACTTAAGCTTTCGGTTTTTTAAGGTGCAGGGTAGGGTTTCGTGGGGGGGGGGGGGGGGGGGGTGTACGTAAGGTTTTGCCGGGTTTGGGTGGGTTTAGGGTTTTCTTTAGGGTGCAGAGTTCAGGCTTATAGTCAGGGGGTTAAGGCGCAGGTATAGGTATGTGCTTAGGGTTCTTGGGGTTTAGGGTTTAGGCTCGGTTTATGGCAAGAAAGGGACAAGCGAAGACATGCCCAAAAAAACATGTCGGAAACAACTCCCAAGCGAAACCAAACGAGGAGTCACAAGCGCGTGTAGATCCACAGCGCTTCCGGGCCAAAGTGCTTTCGTGACCGCATCAGGCGGGCATTCTGCAAAGAAGCGCTCTTTCCAACAGCTGTCCAAGCACAGCGGGTCCCCAAATAGCCAAGAGCTGACCACCACAAGCAAACCGTGTATGCGAACCGAACCCCTGGACAACCTGTTTGTTCCAGAAGCCTAGAGCCTGACACCCGGATCCCTAAAGCCCTGAACCAAAAAGGGGCCCTAGATGTTTACCAAATGCAAGCCGGCGCCTTGATGGGTTTCCGCCCAGCGTTGAGCGCGGCGGTGATGATTGGGACAAGGAAGGCCGCTGTCTTCCCGCCTTGGAAACACAAGCGGGCTTACAGTTTGGGGTTTAGGTTTTTTTGGGCTTAGGGTCTGTGCTTGGGGCTTGACGGTTTAGGGTGCGTTTAGTGTTGAATTGCTTTCAACGATCCCCAAAGAGGGGGCTTGGGGTGTGTGTGTGTGTGTGTGTGTGTGTTAAAGCATGCGCACAATACAAAGATGTATACAAAGAAGCCACTGTTTCAGAAACATAGACTTTGGCTCGGGATTGCCATACCTCTTAGGTTGCAACTCGACAACTTCCATGGATAATGCACCGCTTGATATTTATTCTGAGAGTTCGCGTTTCGGCTTCGGACCTCAGTACAAAGTTCTAGGCGAACCGGAATTTGGGATTTAAGGCGCCAGAGAAGTCCTACCAACAACTGACAGCTTTGGAGCCTCCCACTAGCTTTATCTTGCTTCACAGTGGTTGGGGGGTGTTGCAAAGTGCATTCCTTTCGCACACTCTTTCGCACGCCTTTCGCAGCACAGCCCTTGAAACTACCTGAAAAGGTAGCCCAAGGCAACCGGAAGGCACGGGCCTTAGAACAACCCTCATGTAAAATAGAACATCCGAAAGTAGATAACATCTTAGATGCAAGATGCGAGATCTAGGCTGTGATTCGTAAGACGAAACCAACACAACATAATAAATGTTTGCCCCTAACGCCAAACAGAGAAACCCTTGCAAAGTGGAAGTTTGAGCTCACCATAAACATAAAGTATGATGTGTTGTAAACTGATATGACAACAATAATTACATGAAAATGATAAACACAATATATATATATATATATATATATGTCTGTACGCATGTCTGTATGTATGTATATATATATATACACTCTGTCTATCTGGCTTGCTCCAGGCGGCTCCCTGTCTGCGCGGTGACCAGAACATCGCTTCCCTCCAGCACGGCTGGGATGCTGTGCCTCGAAGCAAAGGGGTCGAGGGCTCAGAAGGATGCACCGACAGCCTGAAGCCACTACAAACAAACGGATGCCGCTGAGTGTTCTGCAGTCTCTCATCTTCCTGAAGCCCTGAATCCGCACCCCCCAACATTCTGAGTTTGCTAAATACCCAAACCGAGGCGCTTCTGCACCGGCGTGGGGATGCTGTAGTGGCAGCGGTCGACGTTGGCAGTCAGAGCGTCTGGCAGGCCATACCTCTCGCAGGCCTGCGCGCGCGATGTCGCGCGTTGGTGGCTGGTGGCTGAAGATTCAACAGGCTGCTCACAACCTGAGTACCCTTAGAGTCTACCTGCGACCCTGAAGCCCCGGACCGACTGAACCCTTTGGAGCCAAAAGAAGCAACCCCCTAAAGATCCCCCCGCAGTTATGCTGTGACTTCCTGTTGTCTAAGTTGCCTCAGAAACCGATGACTAAGGACATGGAGCCACCCTCAATAAGACCTGCCCCACTCGCACACAACAAAAAACGTAAAAAACAAAAAAAACAATCAAAACCCAAGCCGCTGGCTCAGATGGTACCGATTCCCCCCCCCTCTCCAAAGGCCCCTGGCCCTAACCCCTGCAACGACCCTAACGCCCCTACCTACAGCAACCCCCCTGAAGCCCCTACAGCCCTGAAGCCCCAGTAAACAAAAATGAAAGCCCAACCAAGCCCCCCGAGCGGCCCCCCGGGTGCCTCCTGGAAGGTCGCGATGGCGCTCTCTTGACCCGAGCCACCCTTGGTTTCGACCTCGGTGCTCCGGAATTTGTCTAGGGGCTTGCGGCTTTTCTGGTTTAGGAGTGAAAAAACAAGCTTAAGGTTTAGGAGGTTTGGGGTTTCAGGGTTCAGGGCTGAGGGTTTGTTTCGGGCTTCTCGGGTTTGGGTGGAGGGCGGGAGGGCCGAGAAACACAGCGCACAACCCTACATGCGGCATGGAGTGGGTGCTCGCAAGATGTTGTCCAGCCCACCTTTACAATACTTCGGTGTGTTCAAGGTTTCTGGGGGTTGAGGGTTCCAGCTTTTAGGGGCGTTAGACTTTTGATTTGGATTTGGGGAAATGAGGGTTTCCGGATTGAAAGGTTTGGGCAGACGGTTTGAGGCGTGAGAATGCTGCTGGTTTCGGGTTTGGGTTGGGGATTAAACGGCACATAAGGCTCAGGGTTAAGGTGGTGTTCAGGGAATTTAGGTGGTCAGAATTGGGCTTTTGAGGGTTTTTCAACCGGGCTTCGTGGGATTGGACTTCTGTTCAGTGCTGGGTTGGCGAAATTTTCTGAAAGTAGGCGCAGCAAAGATATTCTGCGGGACTTTCTGCACACTTCTCTCGGGCTCTGTTGAACTTTACTATTTCTTAAACTTCCGCCTGTCAGTTTGCATTGTTTTTTGTCGTTCGGTTTCTCGTTGCTTGTTTCTTGATTTCTGATCTTTCTTCTTGACTGTTGATTCTCCTTTCTTCTCCTGGACAAAACCAGTACCAGGGCCCTCCCGCCGTGTGCAGGCGTCCGCACGCGCGTTCGCGCGTGCGCATACGCAAAATGTCCTCAAGCACAGTGTGGAGCCGGCACACTTGCCCCCCCCTCTTTATACATGGATATCTTGCTTTCTTCCGTGCTTCATTTCTCTCTGTTTCTCGCTCCTCGTTCTTGTCTCTTTTCTTTTGCTTCTTGTTTTTGTTCTTTATTTTTCCTTCATAATTGTTTCTTTCGGTATTTCTGCGCTGCCTTACGACACATTCAACAACAACTCTTCAACACAAATGTGCAGCAAAAAAGTATACACAACTCACCGTAAACCAACCTTGAAAAGACTCTTCACATGAGTGCACGTTTTGCTGATGGTACAGGGTTTTATGGAAAGTCATCTTGGGGTCGCTTGTCAAGTCGGCGCTTTGCTTCTTTTCTGTTGCACGGTCGCGGAGGCACAGGGGGTGAGCAAACTTGAAATTTCAGTTTGAGGCTCCTAGAGTCATGGACGTACCAAAAGCCGTATTGCAGGGGCCCCAGGCGTCGATACTGTCGTACTTCTGGAAGTCGATGCCCGCGGAGACGTGCGCAGCCTTGAAAAGCCTGTTGGCGGCGTGTGGGGTTTTGGATGCTTCGAGCTTATCGGGGTGTGTTGCGTTTCAGTCGGAAGTGCCCATCTAAAGGATGTCAGATTCTTCCAAAATCTTTAGGTTTTTTGGTCGTGTGTTGAAGGTAGAGGTTGAAGCTAAACGTGTCAACAGCCTTGTTCAAGGATCCAGTCTTTCGGAGGAACCGGAGGCTTTGTTTTGCAAAGGAAATGAGAAAAAGAACGCCTGAAATCCGGGGAGGCTGAGCATTTTGTGATGCATGCTCTGTGGGTTACACAGCTTGCTTAGGGGGAATGAAGCGAGCGAAACTCATATACGAGCGAATGAAACTATAAGATTAAAAATTAGAATGTAGGATCAAAAGTTCACGCACGGTTTGAATACCGGCCTTGGCTTCTTACTGCATGTTCAACTGAATATCGGGCTTCAAGCTCAAGATGCTACGTCGTGAGGCGTGTATAGCATGGGGCACCCAGCGTCAAATTCCAAGATGGATGGCACGACCGCCCAGAAATTTACGCCATGCAAATTGTGCAAGTCAAAGGCGCCACAGGTGTGAACGCATCTGTACCAAGGACGTGCTTTTGCTTCATTATCCTGTTGGCGACCTCGCATCCTCACCGGTGCCGTGCTGCGGCTTTTGCGACGGGCGACAGCAACCATAAAGCAATGCCAGTGCAGCAAAAATCAGACCTGTCGTTGTCACTACGACAGGCCGAAAAGATTCAGGCTTGACGCACAATCGTCACAACCTTGAACCGCAGCACCCTCACCGCCCGGCGTGAGACCCTGAACTGGAGGTTATCAGAGCTGTGTTGGGCAGCTATGGGCCGTTCAAGGGCTTTAGGTTCCTGAGCCCTCGAGGAAGCATTGCTTGCCTTCTTTCTTCGCACCGCTTAATGAATCCTTGGCCCTTAGCCTGACATGCAGCAAGCTTAGTTGCAACCTTTTCGGCGTACTCGAAACTTGTAGGCCTTTTCATCAAAAGTAGGGAGTTGTATTTGTTTGGCTTCGAAACGGTCATACCCCTCGAGCATGTAGCCAAACACCTAAAACTTGTTGGCGGCTTATGCGTTTGTCTCGTTCTCAGGCTGCCCAATAACTCCTTTAGCGGCTTAAAGTTTGCCACCCAGCCTCCTTTCGGGTATAGGGCTATGCCACCAACATTTGCGCTTTGGTGCTTCGGGCTTGCAACCCAACATCTCCTTTTCGGGTTTAGGGCTCGGCACCCAACATCTCTTTGTAAAGGTTTAGGGTTTAGGGTTTAGGGTTTGCCCCATCCACGCTTTTAGGTCCAAGACTTGCCACCCAACATCTCCTTTTAGTCCTTCTTAGGGGCTTGGAAATGCCACATTTGCGTTCCAGTTGTCGGTACTTGCTTTGCCCTACAGCTCCATTTCTGGGCTTAGTGCACAAGAGGGTTTGCCACATTTCCTTTCTCAGGTCTTAACAGCCTCCTTTCATCCAACATCTCCTTTAGGGGTTCGGCTGGCAGTTTAGGATCCGCTGCCTGCAGCCAGGGGGGTGGGGCAACAGTGCCTTGATGTTTTGAGAAAAAAGTTACAACTAAGCGGACAACAGCTACAACGATGCAAAACAAGCTTCGGCTAACCCAGCAACCCAGACGACGAAGGAAGCGCAGGTAAGTAGCAATAGAGAAGAGGTAAGGCTCGAAGTGAGGTTGGTTGTCAAGGTTCAAGGGTTATGGGGAAGAAGCCGCATGAGGGCCGAGCATTCTGGGATGTCAGCGATGCCTCAGGGTTCCTCTGCACACCAATAAGAACAAAGCAGCATGTTCAGCTCTTTTCGAGCGCTCCTGCCTTCGATGTCTCTTTGCGTGTTCTTGGGGGGCATCTCATCCCAAGCCCCGGAGCCCCAAATGGCGATTCAGGCATTGGAGGAACTAATGGGGATTTGCATGTGCAAGCTTAGAAGAGGCCCCCCCCACCCAAGGTTTATACAGCTTAAGCAGGGAGTCGAAAAAAAGGGAACCCCCCCCCCAAAAAAAAAAACAAACACGCAAGAAGGACGGGCTTGAAGCTTGAACGCCTGCGCCACCAACATCGACACCATCAACACCCCAGAGGGCGCCTTCCTTCCTCGTGCTGCCAGTACCGCTCATCCCTGGGTATCTCGCCTGGCTCAGGTTCGGGAACTATGCTGTGCACGCTGGGGGCTAATTCATTGGGGCTATAGCTTGTCGTGCTCGTCCCTCTGCCCCTGAAGTCAGGACCACCTCTTTCGAGTCGATCCGAAGCCCAAGCTCGAGGTTCGAGGGTTTAGGGATTTAGGGAGAACACCCCCACCCCCCCCCCCCCCACTCCCTCTCAACAAGTTGAGGCCACGGAGAACTGAAGGAAGAGAACGTTGAATGAGGAAGGCTCTTAAGCTGAGCCCCTTTGAAAGCCCGACAACATGAACTTTCCCCTGCACTTCGCCCTGAGCTGAATCAGCGTCGCCTCGGCGCATGAGCGACTTCTGGTACTGGAAGAACTGCTGGGCCTCGGCAGTGGTCACCCGAGTCACCCGGCTTCAGATTTGTTGAGGAAGCTTGAGGACTGTCCTTGTATTGAAAAATGACACCTATCTGCTTGCTCTTGCCAATGTCATTGGAGCGCCGCTCGTCTCTCTTCCCGTGGATTTTTTTAATTCGTTTTTGTGACCGTGGCCCGACTTCGGGCGCGGAGCAGGGTCTAGAAGTTTAGGCCCTAGTTAAGTTGCCAAGGGCTGGCCAAGAATCTGGGGGCCTCTCCACAACTTCATGGCTTGGGTTCAAATAGAGTCCTTTAGAAGGCAGCTTGTACCCCGCATCCAAAATCCACTCTGGTACTAAGTCTCAAACCCCCCCCCTCAACACCTCAACCCCCCCCCCCCGGCCCTCCCAGGCAAGGGACCTCGCGCGTGCGCTTGGCCTCTGTCATGCGCTGGATGTCGCTGCGGCCTTCCGAGCTCCATCGGGCGCTTGGGGCTTGGAGAACTGGTAGCGAGGGCTTTAAAACCCTCAAAGACTGGGATCTCCGTCGGGCTATGCCTGCTGTGACGTACCGGCAAAACCTTGCGGTTGTGCATTGTCATGGTCTCACAGGGTTTAGGGTTGGGGGTTTAAGCATTTTGGTGTTGAATCTGATCTGGCGGGGAACCGCTTAGGTCCAGGTTGTGCCTCAGAGTAGAAAACCACCACTGGCAACACAGCAAAAGAACCCAAAGGATGCGATGTCGAGTCAATGTGGGCACAAGGCTGAAAGAACGATCCTCTGCCTGCGCCCCCTGAAACCCCAAACCGCCCCCAAAAGCTCCAACCCCTGGCTGGTCAGATCTTTAAACCATGATCTCTTATGCCATTGCTTGAAGACAGCTCCGTATGGTCACGGCATAACCCCCCGCCCCCACCCCGCAAAAACATCACCATCGCTTGAACCCACCCGTGATGTGGGGGTTGTCAGATCTTCACTCAATCCTGTTCATCGCCAGCTCGCCTCCTTGCCCGGTGTCCCGCCTGGTCTCTGGGCCTGGTCTGTGGAGTGCTAACTTTAAGAGAAGCCCGCAAAAGAGTCCCGCCGAGTTGCTGGACCACCCCCAGAGACCCCAAAGACTCGCGCAAGAGACGCGCCGAGCATCTCTGGAGTACTCACCCCCCAAAGCAGCTCGCTGCCGCCGAAAATCCCTGGAGTGCCCACCCTCAGAGAATTCTGGGAAGAGTCCCGCGACAGAAGCTTGCGGCGAAGCTTTTGCCTTGACTTAAAGCCCGATAAATCAGCAAGCCTTAAATACTGCAAACGTTCGTGCTGTCTCCACCGAAATCGCCTCCTCCACCGAAGTCGCGGCCGCCACCGAAGTCGCGACCGCCGCCGAAGTCGCGGCCACCCCCGAAGTCGCGGCCGCCGCCGAAGTCACGGCCGTAGCCCTCAAGCGTCGGGCGTTCAGGATTTTGGGCGGCTGAGGCTTAGGGCTTAGGGCTTAGGGCTTAGGGCTTAGGGCTTAGGGCTTAAGGCTTAGGGCTTAGGGCTTAGGGCTTAGGGCTTAGGGCTTAGGGCTTAGGGCTTAGGGCTTAGGGCTTGGGGCTTGGGGCTTGGGGCTTGGGGCTTGGGGCTTGGGGCTTGGGGCTTGGGGCTTGGGGCTTGGGGCTTGGGGCTTGGGGCTTGGGGCTTTTGGGGCTTGGGGCTTGGGGCTTGAGGCTTGGGGCTTGGGGCTTAGGGCTTCGGGCTTCGGGCTTAGGGCTTAGGGCGTTTGAGGTTTTAGTGTTGGTGGGCTCCTTGCATGATGTGGTGTTCTGAAATAATAGGGCCGCGCCCCTGAATCAAGTTTGGGAACGTTGTTTGCGGCGGGACAACCCCTACTGCCTCTTGGGGGTCTCTTGTGGGCCTCTTTCATGTAAGCAAAGCCAATCTCATCGATCTTGGAGCTGTAACCTAAGCAGTTATGTCTTAAAACCTTCAATTGAGGGGAGCGGAGTTTTGCCGTTCGTTATGATTGAGTTTCGGCAACAAGTCGCTCCATTGCGAAACACTTACTATCGATATGCTGAAGAAACAACAGAATACGGCACTACATAACAATGAGGCAGAGAGCTTGCCTGTTTTGCGCCCCAAGCCCTGGACCCTAAACCCCAAATTAACCCTGAACCCCAAAATCTGGGTTGGCACTCCAGGGAAGGCATTGAGGTCTTCAAAACCCCACTGATAGGTCTCTAAATGATGCTTCCCCTTTTGTGGTACCCCTCTGAAAAAGAGATCCCCCTTCTCAAGGGCACCTTGCCATTCTCTGGTAAACTCGGGGCTTAGGGGGTTTTGGGGGTTTAGGGGGCTTAGGCGGGTTGGGGGGTTTAGGGGGCTCAGGGTTAAGGGGTTTAGGAGGTTCAGGGTTTAGGGGTTAGACCCTAACTTTCGGACCCCCCACCTAGCGGGAAAAGGAAACACTAAGGACAGCCCTGCCTTCCCGCCGCCTCTGCCCATGCCCTGCGGCGTTTGGGGCGCTTCAGTTCCGCGATCTCTTCCGAGTTACAGCTTATAGGGTTTCGGTTTTAAGGTTTTAGGCTTTTATAGGGCTTAGGGCTTTAGGATCCCAACTGAGCAAAACCAAGAAGCGAAGGTCAACCTTGAACCACTTCGCAAGCTCCGTGTCCTACACCGAGGACCCTTGACTCCCTCAAGCCACCGGCAAGCTGAAAGATAGAAGCAAATTCAAACCTCCTCCTGCCCTCTCACCCCCGAATTCCCCCTGCCGGGAAGTTCGAAACGACAAAAAAACAACCAAAACCCGCTCAAAACAAATACCCTAAAACGGTCGAGACGTCGGGGGCCTTGCCGTAGGCGGCGCGCTGCACGGCTCCTCCAGCCACGAGCGCCGCGGCCAGGCGCAGGAGCCCGGAAGAGGAGGGCTCCTCTGGGCTTCGAGGTGAGAGGGCTTTAGGGGGAGCCTCTGTCTAAAAACCCTAGAAACCGAACCACCCTAAGTCAGCCCCAAGCCCGAAACCCTTTCTCCTGCGCGGTTGCTCCGAAGCCCTTCCTGACGGGACAGGGCCCAGGGCTACTCCCCTGAGTCAACCCCGCGGTTCCTCTTGGGTACTCCAAAACAAACTAAAGGGCCGCCCCTTCAAAGCCTAGTGAGCTGAATGTCGAAAGTGCGAATCATGCAAACTTGGACCCTCCTCGACACTGGAACCTCCCCCGCATGCTGCACCCGGGCATTGATTGTCCAGTCTGCACCCTCCTTCCGAGCAGCCCTATACACCGACATACCCCTCGCTCACACACTCACTCACACTGCAGTAGCTGATTTGGCAACGAACCCCGCAACGAACCGCGCAACAAAATTCCAGGCTCTTCCGGCATCCAAGCCGCCCCTTTGCAGCATTGGGCGCGCGGAGAGCAATAGGTCCTCAGAGTTAGCAGGGGAGGCTCTTCGACACTACACACCCTTAAAAAGGCTCTTTATAGGGTTGATTATGGGGATTCTAAAGGCCTAATTGCACATCCTGGGAGCATGTGGCGGTTCGACGATAAGTCTGGCCTGCTGACGCTCCTTTTCGTTTCCTTTGTTTCCCAGGAACTCGTCCATGAAGTCTTGTACTGCATCTGTCTGGACTGCGTGGTTCCCACGTTGGCTTGATTTCCTCAATCCACTTTTCTTGGCATTCATCACTACCAGGGGGGCGAGCCACGCCCTCGGCCCCAAGTGCCCCCAAGTGCCCCCAAGTGCCCCCAAATACCCCCAAATACCCCCCAAATACCCCCAAATACCCCTGAGACCCTGCTTCAGCACCACACTTGAGCCGAAACACAACACGCATCCTGGGGCCGATGCGGATTGGCTCTGCCGGGCCAGGGGCCACAAAGCAGGGGACCACGTCCATGCCCTCCTGAAGAGGGGCTCTTAGGCTCGTAGGGGTGTGAGAGCTTCGGGTGGAGTTCCGGTGCACTCACTCTCAATTTCAGAGAAGTTCGAGCTGTTTCCACTGTAGAGAAGCCATGTCTACATATGCTTGCCTCCACTCCGAAGTGGGCTTCAGTCGAGCCAGTTTCTAAGTGGTCGCAAAACATGTTCGAAGTGAACCTATGGGGGAGCTCAGAGGCTGTTGGAGAAGGCTTCGACCACCAGATGCTGATGTCCCCGAACCAAACAAATAACCATATGGGGGCTTTTGAACCTAGGGGACCCCCAATAAAGATCCCCACATAATCATGGGATTCCTTTTTTGATAAGGACCCCCAATAAGGTATCCCGAATTTCGACAACATACAGATAGCAAACCCCAAGCCCTGCAGTCTCCTCGCAAGCAAGAGCTTGGTAAAAGATCCCTAAACCAGTTTGGAACAATACGGGGTGATGTGGAGAAATATGGAACGACATAGGCAAGAGGCTACTGGCGCGGACATCTTTAATGACGTTGGGTTGTTGAATTGATTTCCTTTCTGCATGCTGTAAAGGCACCAAAAACCGAACCGAATGTAGTTTACTCGGGCTCCTGCAATGGCCACGTCTCGGCGCGCTGCTTGGTGGGAAAATCGAAAAAAAAAACAGGGGCTGAGCACACGAGCGTAGCTTGAGGCGGAAAGGTGCGGCCGGCCAACGCCCCCATGAAGGATAGCCCTAAGGCCTCAGAACTACCCTTTTGTGAGAGTGAATGTTACCGCTCGTTTCGGATTGGTAGGCAACCTGCAACATAAGGCTTCGGTTGGGTTCGGAGGTCTTTCGGGGGTCTAGTTGTTGAGGGGTGTGTGAGATTGGATGTCAAAATCTCCATGCAGGAGCCTTTCAGCATAGATGCCCCGAAACGCCGAAATCCTAGCATGAGGGTTACTGCTGACATGTGCCATATCACAAGGACCTCCGGTCCCGTGATTGAGGGACCCTCCCAGAAACCAGGTACTCTTTCACATCGCTTCTTCTTATCAAATTTAGCTGGGCCGAAGCCCCGAGCTTCAGCTCGGAAAGCTGGCCCCTCTCCTCCAAACCCGCCCCCCCCACCCCCACCCCCATCCCCGGCCCCAAACAAAGGCAGACAGAAAAACACAACGCAAGCTCACGAAGCCGAAGCTCCAGCTTGCAGCTTAGGGTCGGGGATGGTCAACCCAACAAACACATTCCTCAAGCGCTGCGCTAAACCCCTAAACGCCCTCAGCCCGTGTCCAGCACTGTTTGCACACTGGTTCTCAAAGTCCCCAGTAAACCCTACATACACCTTCCACCCTGAACCCTGAACCTCAACCTTTTGGGCTTGTCAGGCCTTTTGACGTTCAGGGTGTGCGGGGGGGAAGGGAGGGTTGGGGCTACTTGGGTGGATTCATAGGCCTTGAATTTCTAATCCACAACACATCCACGGCCAACAAATCCGAAAATCTGGGCAAGATCCCATTTTGGCCGCGCCGCAGGACGTCCTTGCCATGGCAAGGAAAAAGCTCCAAAGCTCCAAAGGCGGAAAGCTTGGCCTCGGTTTGAAGATGGCCATATGCCTTCCAGCGACAAGGCTCAGCTGGATCCCTCAAAAGGAGGGTTTCGGGTTTAGGGTGCAAACGTGTTGCAGAGGCTGGGATTGCCTTCCAGACCCCTGCAAAAGCGGCCAGGCCAAGTGCAGGGGATTTCGATGGAAAGAACTCGGCTGGACAGCTAGATCGTATGACGGAACAAGGTGTCAAGTGATTCTAAGGATACATCCTTGAACTCCAGGAAGCCCTTGTATGCCTTCTCGGCATCTGCACCATTGACCAATGGCTTCATGCACGCGGGCACGCCAGGGTCAGTGATGTCCTTCATGGCATTGTTCGCGAAGTCGTAGGAAGCATCACCAAGCTTCTTTGCTGCATCGCCAATTTCGTGGGCGAAAGCCGCCGGAGCCATCATCATGCTGCGGACGCAGCTGCCACGGGCGCATGTTTTCTTAGGGGCCCGGGCACAAGACTCACTCAAGATGTTGCAACAGTTGTACAAAGGCGACCAGCGCAGCAACCACGCTCAAGACTTTCCTCGAAGAAGGTGGCATGGTTCCAAGGCAAAGTAGCGCAGCTCCTCGAAGACGATGCCACCGGAACGTCGCGCCTGACTCGTCTTCTCGCTTAGAGCAGGCCTGAGCTCTCAAAGCGGAGGGGGGGTTCGTCTCCAAGTTGCTCTTGTTCACGGTCTCCTGGAGATTCTCCAAGTCTTGGAGGACCACAAGCTCTTCCTCCAGCTCGCGTGCATCGCGGATCTGCTTCGGCGAGACCCTTGAGGAAGCCGAGGAGTTCGCCTCTCACGACCAGGGCATACCAGGGCTTATGGCGTCCAAGGCGCTTGCGTTCTCTTGCCGTCTTTCTGATCTCTCGTTTGAAGTTTTTGGCGGGGGAAACGGGCGGCGCTTGCCTTGAGTGGGGTAGTCGGAAACATGCAAAACCAGAACTTTGGGCTCAGGTGTTTTGGCGAGCCATACTTTGTGGCTTGACAGTGCTCAGGGTCCCATACAGTGGAGGTGCACACGACCAAGATGTCAAGCAAACGTGACTCTGAAGTCAAAACTTAGAACTGGCCATCCCGACACCTAATACTACAGTGTGTTGGGACCTTCCACACACAATGGCAAAATGGCCTAACACCCAAAGCCGAGACCCCAACATGTGGCGGTTGATCGCATTATGGGCCCCCGTTGTGTTCTTGAAGTGCATACAGGTTGCAAGGGCTTTCAGGGGTCTGCGGGTGTACCGGCAACGGCTACGCCTGCAAGTAAACGGAGACTTCATGACCTCAGGGTTTGAGAAGGGGATCGGTAAACCTGCGGAATACCCTAGTGCTGAGAGCTCTGCCGAAAGGCCCTTCCAGTGATCCTTCTTGCCGCCTGTTACTATATGACTATATGCCGCCCCTCTTTCCCAAGCCGAGACAGGGTGCCCGGAAGGGTGTCGGTGTGCGCCTTGAACTGGGAGTCTGCCAACCTTCGAGCCCCAGCAGGTGGACTCTAACGGTAGGAACACGTGAAACATTAGCATTCCTGGCAAATGCTGTAGTCACAATGCAACTATCATGGGCCTCGGATGAAATTAGGAATATACCCCCCTCGCGATCCCCTCGTCGCAACATTTGCATGCTAGTACCGTCGTCCCCGCAAGCAGAGAAGCACCGATGTGCCAGCCCCTGCCTACAACGCTTTTTTGCAGGGCATGGCGTGTCAAGGAATTCCTTCTAGATTGCTTGCTCTTACCATGATCGTAGCTCCGTTGCGCCGTTTCAAGGACCAAGCACCTCTCCACAAGTGGTAGGAGGTGAGTACACCTTCGATGCCGTTGAGGTGCATCGCCGGAAGGGCGCGGGTGCGGACACATTGCCCCTTCGCAAAGTTGCCCGCCCTGCAGCGGAGCAGCTTCCGAAGCAACCACATTAGCAAAAATGCCACGGCACACTGCCAGGAATTGATGGTTTTGCACGACTCCGTTACAATCTGGCGGGCTGCCGCTACCGCCGACGACGCTGTGGAGACTGCAGCGGTCAGGTGTAGCTGAAGCTCTCTGCTTTGTGGCGGCTCGGCCTTGGTCCTTTGAGCTGCTTGCCGCAGCTCTTTATAATCACTCTCGAGCTGACTCAAAAAGGCCCGAAATTGCTTCTCTGCAGGATCCCTGACATCTGCTCTCATGTGCTTCACTGGGTCTGCTGATCCATCATATCGGCAGTGGGCAAGCTCGTGCAGCAATGTATGAACCACTCTGTTCCGTGGTAGCAGTTGATTACCCGGAGGATCGCGCAACCTGAGTGCGATGTAGGCAGAACCTCGGGCAGATGGTCCATACCCATCTAATGTCATTATGTCATTGTAGCCCTCCAAGACTTCAAACTGGGTCGCCTGCCTGTCGTACTTGTACCGAGGATCATGAGGACCCAATTCCTTGAGACAGCCGGTGCGTAAGTGGTGCCGTTGCATCAACTTTGACAAAGCTGGGTCCCTGCCGATGTCCTTTAGCATGTCATAGGCCCTCTCATCTGCTGCATCTGTTGAGTCCGGCCATGCTTCACGCACACTTCGGTGGTCAGCACGTAAGCCAGCAAATCCTGTCCAAAAATAGTCGTACACGAGGATCGCCGCGATGAGGAAGGCCGCTCCAAGCAGCAAGGCTTTCATGTCTAGACTTGGCACACCAACCCGAGACACCCCAGACACAGGCACTTGACCGGCACGTGTCAAAGTGGCTGGGGTGCCATGGCTTGAGCTTGTGCCGAGTGTCAGTAAAGTGATGTGGAAAGCCCTAAGAAAACCGACTTAAGCCCAGACTAAACCGATACCGCAAGCCTGGAAACCCTAGATTAGAATCAAGAAGCCCAAAAGTACTCGGGCTTCAAAACCCGAAGCGCCGCACGAAAGCAGTCGCGTCTGAAAATCCAAGAAGCAGGCTCGGCGGCTGGTTCCGGGGCTCCGTCTTTGGCTTGGAGAACATGGCCCGAGAAAAGGGGCCAAGATTTCTTGCTGCGAGGGGATTCCGGGGCTGTTCTGGACTGTTAGCTGTGAGTGTCTTCGGGGTCATCGGACGCTTCGGGGCTTGTTCATATACCTCCGCGCAAAACCCCCGAAAACAGAACAGATAAAGAGTCTTGGTGGAAAAGTCAGAAACTCTGCTTGGTGGAAGCTTGAGAACGGACGGCGAAGATGCGAGCGGTTGCGTTCACAACAACCGTCCGGGAAACAATAAACCGCCTAAACCCCGAACCATCCAAACCATTAAATCCTCAGCCAAGGGGTTGCTGCCGCAAGCTACAAGTGTGGGGCTGTTCTCGGTTCACAGATTGAGCAAAGGTAAAAGATTAAAGTGGTTGAGTGCGTCTTTGACAGAGCGATCTATCCACACTCATGAAGGGTCTAAGCGTGTAAACAGAGAACATTGGCTCATGACCTCATGTTCCTTGGTTTCCTGGCACATGAAAGCTAGCTAAGCTCAGCTTACACCATTGGCGAGTCTCGTCAGCTTCACACATGACCAAGGCACGAGGACGCCACCTATAGGACCTATAGCGTGCGATTGGAGCTTCGGGATACTGCGGCTTTCGAGTTTCAGCTGCACGTCGATGCTCGACCGAATTTGTTGCACGGTGACCTTTTTTCTCCGCATGCGCCAAGCCTCTTAGAAGCAACTTGCCGTGCGGTGAGCGTTTGGGATGACATGTGTCTTGCGGCGCATCAACTTTGACCAAGCTGTGAGTTCAGAGGGCCTTGGGATGGATTGACTCTTCCCGAACGCGGACGTCCTCAGCGAGGAAAACGGTAAGGCCGGTGGCAGAAGAGGGGCCTGGGAAGAGTGCATAGTTGGACTGCCTAGGGTCCATGCTTAAGATGCCCTGTTGGACTGTGCTTCATGGGATTCTGCTGACCCCTCTTCCGACCCTGTCGGCGATCGGTGCTCTCGGTCCCAAGAGTGTCTCATCAGCTGCTTCTTCGAAGCACTTCGCACACCAAGGAACCCCAGAAGATCCACAATGTCACAAGGTTTGCTGTGGCCTGAGAAGATGACGTTGCTTCATTTTTTGAACTGTTTCATCGAGTTTAAAGCCGGAAAGAAACGTAGTGGCATCGGCCGCAGCTTGAAACGGGAACGAATACGAACCGAACCGAATCGTTTTGTGAAATCGGAACCGGCGAACCAGAACCCTAACCCGTCTGCACCGCGGAGTAGCGGAGTAGAGTCCGACTTGTTCAAAGGCTTCCCGGCCTCCACAAATTGGATTTTGTTCTAGTCCCGGTTGCGCCGCGGACAAAATTGCAAACGGCTGTGTTCTGTACAGTGTCCTCAACTTTACAACTTACTGCATACGAACTTCGACTAGCTCCCTGAAGGAAGACCGGACAGAATTGCACAGGTATATGCCAAGAATGCTGATCCAACGGTTTGTGGCTCTTCTGGGGCTCATGGGCCAACAAGCCACGAGCATCCTCGGATAATGTCGGCAATTGGGGGGGGGGGGGGGCGCTCTCTCTTCGAGCAGCCGCAAATTCCAAACAATTACTATTCAGGCATGGCTCAAGAGTTGCCTCTCCCGCTTCGAGCAATGTACCAAAAAATCTCAAGAAGTCGCAAAAGCCTGAAGGGTCACTGAACTCTTGAGACATTCCCCTCACAGCTCAACACATCCAAACTGAAAACACCCCGGCTCTTCATTGCAGTGCTATGCTGCTATGCTGCTATGCTGGCTTAAGCTGGCTTAAGCTGGGGACTCCGGGTTACACGTTGAACATGCGGTGAGCAGTTGTGCCACCCATGCTGCGTGTTCTTGAGGCAACCCGTGATGTGGCAGGTTTCACGGACTCATGGATTTGGCACAGCCACCAAAACTATTTTGGAGAGGGCTTTGAAGAGAGAGGTGGAGAAACGTGCACGAGGAAGTTTATACGAAGGGCCAAAACCACCAGACCCGCAGGAATCGGGGCAGCAGAGGGCGCGATGGAAACTGAGCCAACGGCGCTGGGTCGGTTTGGTCGGGTTCACTGCCCCGGGTTCACTGCCCCAAGCATGGATTGCATGGAAGTCATTGACCCATTTCACACCATGGAGCATTTCGGTAATGTGCCAGTACAGTGTAGAAAACACGCATGACAAGGCGAGACAAGACACACGGGAACAAGGGGAGAGAAACGATGACGGGTCACCAGCCGTTGTCCGCCGGTTCTTATCGCACCGTGCCGGAAGAACCAATTTCACACGTCGGGGCGCAACGACATCTCGTGTGGCCAGTCGGTTGCTTAAAAACAAAGGATCGGGTACCTCTTGGCAAGGGCTCGCCTTGTCTGGAGGGTAAGGGGGGGGCACAATCTCAAGCTGACCGTTCGTCTTGGACTGAGCGATGTGCTGTCTTGAGATGCCCTGAGGGGCACAGTGGCACGATCTCGGGCATGAACGTCCCACGAAGGACAACAGGACCACCCGCAGCATCCGAGACACCTTCTGCACATTCACGCATCCCTGTCTCGATAGCATTCGGAACCAGAGTAGATCAAACGACCCAATTAAAACAACACATCTAGCCCGAGACTCCCTCCCTGCCAGGTCTCGCATGTCCAGTTGCTGGGTCTTGAGGACGGCACTCGCGGGATATTGTAGCAACGCTACCGTCTACATCTGGTTCTTGGGCTTTCGTCGTTCCAAGTTTTTCTACTCCCCACGGAAGTGCGAAGGCCGCGTCGCAGCTCGGATGCGCAAAGGGAAGCCATTAGCATCGGGTTGCTCGATTCACCTGCGCAAGCAGGTGCGAGGGTTTCTGCAGCTCATGTGGTGCGGCAAATTGAAGCTTTATTTACAACAAGGGCTCGGGCTATGTTCTTTGCTTGCAGGTACCTACAGGCCCAGACCCTTCTACGCCGCTGAAGCATGACTCTGAAATTCCAACTACCGCTAAGACGTAAGAAGGGGCTTTGGCTTCAGGTCCCATGTTCTTCAAGCCTGAAGCCTGAAGCCATTGCAGCAAACCAGTCAGTAGTAGTCCAAACCCCTTTAAAGTCGCACGAAGGCGGCGTTCGGGAGTGGTGAGGGAATGATGGCAGATGCGCTGTACAGTTAAAGTGCAGGCGCAGCGACTTGCATCCCTCGAGAAGCCCAATTGTGAGATTTGAACGAGAAGGGGGAGCTTGAATAGCTTGAGTACGTAAGAAACAATGGCACATCCCAGTGGGCCTCAGCCAGCCACCAGTCGAGGCCTGGAGAATCACGCTGGGCGTGGGGTGGCTCCAGATATCAACGAAGTTCAGCGGTTCTACTTCTGCCCTCACATGGGCATCTTGGGTGCGAGAAAGGCGAGGCTTGGCAACATCTCCAGTTGGTGGCGACTGTTCCATGTATCCGGATCTATGTCTGTTTCAAAGAGGGTTGAAGGTGAAAAGATAAGCTGTTCTAGTGGATCCTGTGGTCCAACAACCGGCGCCGGCATCCCCAGATGAGTGCACCCCTCAGTGCTGCCAGGCAGCAGCTTCAAAGGGGCCGAGGCGATGTTCGTCCGCCCCCCTGAGAAGGGAGGCAGGAAGGAGACGTTTTTCGATGTTCCTCAACTCCTGAACAACAAATGCGAAGGGTCTTGGCCTGCAAACGAAGCAGCTGCATCCGTCGACTCTGTTCCCTCTTGTCTATCCTTGCACCACCCCAGCTCACATCCGCGTCTCGTCTGCTTTTGGCTGAAATTCGGGCTTTGGCTTTTACTCTTGGGGTTGGCTTACTGTAGGCCCTGGACGCAAACACATCGCAACAGCTCGGACTGCCATCGCGGAATTACTCCCTAAGCCCCTACACATCCTGAGCGCTGAAACCAGCGAGACCCTGAAAACCAACCCCTTCTCGGTCTCTAGGGGAACAGGGAGGGGTCAATGATGGAAATCAAGAGGAAGACGTCAAAACACTCTGCAACCAACATCCTAAGCATGCCCCTCCAAAAGCCCATCCAAGGCCTTGCTCCAGGTCCTTTGCCGCAAAGCGGCGCCTCAGAACAGGTGTCTCGCATGGAAGATGACTTTTGGTCTCTTGTCATACGTTTAGGTTATCAGAGATTGCCGATGATTTACATCAAGGTTTTGCTGAAGCAAGCGGGGTTTCGGACTTAGGGTTTAGAGTTACAAGGGCTTTGGTGCTCGGAGCTTCTGCCATCGAAGGCCTTAACATGTGGGACTCCCAAAAAACGAAAGTTAACTTCACAAAAAATTCAAAAACCGAATTCCTTAAAGCCCAAAAATAAGCACAACGTACAAAAACCTAAACGCCCTCAACCCTCCCGGGGGCTCCCGCCACTGCTTCCGCTGCTCCCGGGGCCGGGGAGGTGGTCTGACATGCGTGGAGTGAATGGAACATCTCTCTTCTCCTGCCCCTGGATTCCCATCATGCACACTCTTCACCAAGAGGGCCCCCCCCCCCCCTTCCCAACGGAAAGCCCTCTGCCGTCTGAAGTTGACTCTATGAAGCTGGGGCCGAACAAAAAAAACATTCCGGGTTCATTCAGGGTTCTATGGGGCCAAAGAGACGTCGTCACTCTGCACTCTCAGCACCATGTTGTCAAAGCAATGAATCTCAAACCTTTGTGGAAGATCACTTGACATGCAATGGTGTAGGAGACGATTCTGCATTGGACTGTGGCCCCAGTCGCTGGAAGTCCAAA